CTTCTGTTTAATTAGATTTTACCTTATCTAATTTTAGTAGAAATCTACAATATGAATCTATTTTATTCCTTAAGTCAATACAAAAGTACAGTGCAACTCATTAGTCCATAGGAATACGAACTGCCCGTTCATATACCAAACCACCAGGCATAATTCCAAGGTTTGAGTACCAAACATTTCCTTCCAAATGTTGAGCAAAAAGGTCAATGAGTCACAAAATCACTCATTGCTGAAGTGCAACTGAATGATACCCACAGTAGATTGACAAGACTGCACTCCTTCCTCTGTGGGAGAGATGTCTTGACGTAGGTTTGCTACATTTATACTAAAAGTGCGATGAAAGCTTTGGGGGGTTGTAGACGTACAGCAAATAGTTCACCTCACCAAAAGCACTGAGTTACAGCACAGGGAATGAACACATATGGTGTTCATATTCCAGTACAGATAAATCCAGCTGTTGCGGGGAAAGCTCCCTGAAAAAGATCTCATCCATGAGCACCACTGGATTTACCAAGCTTTTGTAATCCCTGCAAGCTCTCTGATTTTGACCTTTATTCTTTTTGATGGCTCTCATTAATTCCCCAGTGGATGTTGTTGCTTGTTTGTCTGTTTTAGAAAACAGATTATTATCCCATTCTTCCTTTCTGATGTCAGACAAGAAATCCTACTGTCTAGGAAAGGATCTTTCATTCCTGACTTTATGGGTTGAATTTCATGGTGATGTTTAGTGTCTGTCTCAGTGGATTAGAATGTCTGAGAAAACTGTCAGTAACTGGGCTTCCTGTTTGAAACATCACATCTAGGGACTTTAAATTCAAGAGACAAACATCATCTCTCAGTTTCTGGGCGTCAACTATCTTACAACTTTATTCCATTTTTAATAGATAATGGATTCAAAGAAGTGACACTTCCAATTTTCAACACAGATCTAGAAACACCACTCATATTTCTTTAATGGGCGTTGTATCTCAGATGGACTCTTTGAAAGTAGTGCAACTTGGTTTTGAAGATTCTCATCTTTATTTCCCTGGAAGTTCTTCTCTTTCTACTCATTTTTTTGAAAAGGAAAGAGACGATAGATAGAATCCTACTGTGAGCTAAAAGGGGCATAATAAGGGTGATGTTTAATTGAAATCATCAAGTGTGTTTTGTAAAAACACTAGCTGGCAATGACGTGTCCTGTTTTCTTTACCGTGGCTGTAAATTAATAATTAAAAAAAAGTTCAGCAACAACTTTTTTATGACTACTGAAAGAGCAATAGATATTCTTTGATATATTTCTGAAACACAACGAACTAGAAATCAAATTCAAATCATATATTAGACAAAATATTTCTATTTAATCACACAAGCAAGACTTGTAAATAACAGAGTTCAAAGCTCTGGAGCAGATGGGCTTTCAGTTTTAATTCTTCATCTGATCTGCTGTATGCCAGTAAATCTCTGAGTTTCATTTGCTTTATTCAAATCCCTTGGCTATTCAGGACACTTTGTGTCAAAGCATTCTGCTGTGGAACTTCAGCTGTTTTATACAGGCTCGTAAGCTAAAACAGAACATACGTATATTTTGCACACACAAAGCAGGACAGTATTAACAATGAACTAATGACAAACAAAATTCTGCCTTGGTGATTTGTATAAATGCCCTGCACGAGCAAAGAAGGAGGATGTAGGCACTTCAGTAGTAGGGCCAATTTCAAGTAGTGTTTACTGGAAATTCAAAAGGAAAAGATAGCAGTATGTTAGGAGTTAAAGACTTAAAACTTTTTTGCTACTATAAAATCTATGCCAATCTATGCCAATTTTAATTTGACTTAATTCATGTATTCTACCAAAATAGGATTCATCTGCTTTAACAGCAGAGCTAGTAATCACTTGCATTAACATTAGGGCTCAAAGCATCACATGTAGTAGCAGTGCCAAGTTAGTTTTGGCTGACTGTTTAGATTTAATAACATCGTTTTCAATGGATTTAGCTTCACACTATCTTGTAACATGAAAGACATCGTAGAGTCCTTTTGAGAACTTTCCAGAGTCTAAAATCTGTCCGGAAAAGAAAGAGATCTTGACCACTTCTTTTTCCAAACGGAACTACAAAATCCTGCAGTGAGATGCACATCAGCTTATATTGAGTTACATGGAAACACTGAATCCAAATTAATCTTTCCTTTCTCATTTGACCAATTCCGTGAAGAACAAAATCACATCACTCACAGCTAATAGAAACATTCCTACATATCTGTACATAGCTTGAAATTTTCAAAGATATTTTTTTAAGTATGGTGCCTGAAACCCATTGATAAATGTATTACTCTTAGTGGTGTTTGGGAAGGAAAGAGAATAAGAATTGCAACAGATGTGTCTTCCAAAAACCACTTGTTCTTAGAAATAATATTCCTGTTGGTAAAAACAATTTACATTTGTCTTTAAAAGACTAGACATTTTCTTTTACGTATTTTTTTTTCTTAAAACCCAGTTATTTTGTTACCACAATTCATCTTAAAACAGCCTATTTGTTTGATTAAATCCAAGCAGTTTTAGCATTTACTATGGAATGACATGGTAACTGTGATAACAGCCCTTGAAAAGAAAAGAGAAAATCTGGGTTATGTGTGAGCACTGATGGACAGGAAGCTCAGCCATGGAGGAAAAATAGTTTTGTCCTACTTTCCGAGCAGATGAGAATTAGAGAGAGAATGAGCCACTTCCAATTTTAGGTCAATATTTTCACCAAGGGAGAACTCCGAAATACGTATTATCCTTTGGCATGCAGCACTCATGTCCACGGAGGCAGAACATGCTGTGTGACCTTTGACACGTTACTATAACCCTTGGCACTCTGCTAAAATAAAAACCGTTGCCATTGTTTAGATACCAATTAAAATAAATCAAGAGGGGAAACATGGGATGCAAGGTCATGTGCCATTGGCTCTGAAACTACTTCAGCTTGTACATGGCACAGAGGTACATGAACTATTCACTTTTCAGTCCATCTGTTCGTCTGTCTCTCTAGCCACCTATTTACAGACACACACATACAGTGAATGTGCATAGAATTCATACGTCCATAAGAAATGAAGGGGAAATGAAATAGTGCAGTTATGCTGAGCATTTATTTATTTATTGATGCAAGCTTACAGTTTTCATCAAGAAGATAGTTTAAATGTGTGTGTCTACACTCACAAGGTCATTGTTAATTAATAATTAATGCCTTAGCGACAGGGCAAGGGATATCAAAGGTTTTTCAGTATACGACTTCTATATACTTTAATAAAAATACCTCACACTGTTTTTGCAAACTCTGAGGACCTCAGCACACTTGTTGCTTAAGCAAAACCCTGACACTTCATGACATGAATAAAAACATAGAAAATTATGTTAGCAAACATGTTGCATGTTTGGAAATAGTTCTAGCCACTAAGAAAGTGTCTGAATGCTCATGATTTGAAAAGTCATGACTTAAAATCCCCTTGAGAAGTCACCAGGTTTTCTTGTTCCCCACTTCCCTGTGCACTGTTAACAACCTTGAATCAAACTATGATGAACTACATTGGAGATGCCAAGAAACAAAGCAAGAAGTCCACAGGTCTCTTTAAAATAACTTGGCCATTTAATGCTGATCATAAGGACTATGTGTACCTGGTGCCCTGAGGGACTTTGATAAACAACAATTCTGCTTTCCTTGTGTTTAGGGAAATAATTGCAGTGTTATAAGTCAGGCACTTATCCAAAATGACCGCCACCTTGGAAGTTATTGCCAGCCTTAGCAATGAATGTCATTGCTTTGTTGGGTTAAATCAAATCCTTCTCATGCTGTTACAAAGCCAAAAGTACCATGTTTTTTGTGAGGATAGGAAGAATGAGAAATATTTGATTTTTAAAAACTGGGTAAAGCTTGCAATAAATGCATGAGCTGTAACAGAGGATGCCAACTTATCTCTGACAAAATACATGCATTCTGACCTCTCTTGGAGCAACACCATAGGAAGGAACAGAAAATGGATTGGTGATGGCATTAAGAAGGAAAGAAGGAAAGTGAACAGTATTTAAGATCCAGTAAGTGCATGTGATACAAGGATTCTTTCCTTCCCAGGAACGCTGGTAGTGCTTCGTAAGGAAGCACAGGCACAGAGGAGTTCGTATGGTCTTTGAAAAGAGCTAAGGCAGCTGACCACGTTCACGGCAGTTAGCAGCGTCTGCCACTTCTGCAGAGGGCTGGGAGCGGCGGAAAGGTGCGCCTAGCTACAGCAACCTGCGGCCGGCAGGTGAGCGGTGGCTCTCTGTACCTGCTGCACCCAACTTTCCCCTCGCTCCCCCGCACAAGTGCCGGCACCCGCAGAGCTCTCCCCGTTCGTTCCCACCCGAGGAACGGCCAACGGCTGCGGGGCGAAGTGCCGACAAGTCCGCGCGGCGCTCCCGGTGACACGCGTGGCCGGGAGGAGGGGGAGGGTCGGGGGCGTCCCTCCCGCCGCGACCACGGACCGGGACGAGCGGGGCTGGGGGTCCGGGCGCAGCCGCCAGCAGAGCAGAGCCCCGGGGCCGCTCCGTGGGTATCCGCCGGTAAAAGGCGTGGGAACGCGGGGAGCGCCGCTCACGGAGCCCATTTCCCACGGCTCTGGTCCCAAACGCACGCGACCCGCGCTTCGCTGGGATCGCACAGCAGCTCTGTCCCCGCCTGGCTGCGTACCCCGCTCCCGCCCCGTCCCTGGGGGTACCCCGGCTCTACAGGCGCACACGCCGAGTGCTGCATCCTCTCCGTTCCCGCTACACTTCATTCATATGTGTGCCGCGATTAAATATTTGATCAAAGGTTGAACGCTAACGCAAGTCGGTTGTAGTTTTAATTTTAACCCTTAAAATAGAGCGGTTTGTAGACGGAGAGTGTCCAAAGATTCCCAGCCCTCCCCCCCCCCGGCCGTGCCGCCCCCCCAAAAAATAATAACGCTGCAGATTGTAGAAGGATTTGAGGCTGCAGCCAGAGAGAAAGGGATTAGGGCGAGAGCGCTGGAAGTTAAATTGTGCTGCATATAAAAAATGGGCGGATTGGTCTCTAGATGAGAGCTTGGTACCACCTTCCTTTCTAAAATAAAATCTCTCTGGCATGAAGTCACAGCCTATTTCACATCCGGTTTACCCTGGGACGTATTACTACTGTCTTGGTAAAGAGAAAGCTTTTGTTGTATAGCGACGGTCGGAATATCGGAATAGAAATTCGGGCTCCCAGCCCGGAGGAGCGGAGCGGCGGCGGCGGGCGATGGCCGAGGCGGAGTGAGCGGCGGGGCCGGAGCCGCGCAGCCTCCGCGCCGCGGGCGGGAGCGCAGCGGCGGCACAGCCGGGCAGCGGCGCCGCGGACCCGCGCCCGAGGGGCTCCGGTAAGGGCGGCTGCTGGCACGCACCGCGCACACACACACACACACACACACACACACCGCCGCACCGCACACGCACACCGCGCACACCCGCACCGCTCCGGGTGCTGCCGGCTGCGGGCACCGCGTCCCGGCGCGCAAGCGGCTGCTCAGCTCTGCTCTGCTCAGCTCTGCTCTCCCCGCAGGTACCGCCGGGTCGGGGTGGGTTTTTCCTACCCCCTCCAGCTCGAAAATCCGCAGCGATCGAGGGGCGTTTTCACATTTCTTTCGTTTATTTACCTTTTTAGCGTGGTCGGGTTTCTACTTGGAAAAGGTGGATGGGTTTGGGGGGGTTTGTTATTTATTTATTTTGCTCCCAGGGAGGCGGTGGGAGGGGTGGCTCGCTCAGGGCGAGGGGGAAATACAAAGTTGAAATGCCAGGAGGAAAAGAAGTCCAGATTTGCGCCTCGGAGCCGTGCAAATCTGTCACTGGGGGGTCAAAATGCATTTCCCCCCCCCCCCTTTTTTTTTTTTTTTTTTTTTTTTTTTTTTTTTTTTCCAGTGGGCGCTGCTGAAATGCTCGCAGCCTCGTGGCTCCTTCTCCCATTTTGAACGGGGAAAGCAGAGCTGGTGCCCAGCGGTGTGAGCCTGGGGAGGCCGGGGGGCAGGGGATGCTGCTGTCCTGTGCTCCCTCAAAGTCTACACCGTTTGGTTTTTCCAGCTGTCAGAAACTTTCCTCCTCTAGGATTTATAGCACCTTTCTGGATTTGTTGTAGGAGGGAATGGTGTGAAGGGCTTGGGGGGAGCGAGCGTGGAGCTCAACAGATCAAGATAGTTCCAAATAATTCACTTTCCCTTCCTCAGCCGGAGAAGCCTTTTTTGCAGAGGCAGAAGTTGGCGGGACTGGGAGAGGCAATTTTGGAAGCCAAAGATGTTGCCTCTCCATCTATGAGGGGGCTGATCCCAGAGCAAGTTCAGATGCAATCTTCCTCCCTGCCTTCCATCGGGCTCCTTTCCACCCAGTCAGATTAGCTCAGCCCCACTAAATGCTTATCTGCCGATCATTTGTCTATAAACGCATTAATTATATCTCGCTGCTTACATGCGGCTTTGTAATGATATTTTATTGATTTAAATTGTCCCTGAGGGTGTGCAGTGAATTGGGATAGCTGTATTTAAAGATACAAGAGCATTTCTAGGCACAGTGCTTTGTTTTCTCAGGCAGTTTAAAAACTCCATTACTGGGGAAAAGATGGGCTCCAGATTTTGTTTATTTAATGTAATGGATGGTAAAAATCAACTGGATTCCAGTGCCCTAGGTATGCAAGGGGAACCTGCAGCATCTCCTGGGCAATCAGTTGAATCTAGAACACCGATTCCACAAATGTCAGCCAACTTTGTGTTTTATGGCTCATTGGAAAGCAAAAGAAACAATCTGGTTGTGTTACTTTTTACTCAAAGGTAAAGTGAGAATAACTCACTCTGGAGAGAGGACAGGAAACGTTTGGAAGTGAGGAAAAGGCTCTGATGCAAAACCACTTTCCAGCAGCAATCAGAGCCTGCTAGGGACTTAGGAGATGGTGTGTAGGATGTCAAAACATGGTTTCATTGTGAGTTGTGTCCTTTAGCCTGACAAAAATATTACTGTGCATACGTAGCAGGAGATCATAGAGTCAGAGTCTGATGATGATACTCCTGTGAAACAAATATTTCAGGGAAGAGGAGAGGAGTCTCAGCCAGAGAAGAAAGTTGCTGCTGCCACACCAAAGCAAAGCAGAGTCTGTGGGGGAAGCACCGCTTTCCTCTGGAGCACAGATACACACTGACACCTTACAGGAGCCTTGGAAGGGCTCAGGCTGGCTCAAGTCGAACGAGAGAATTACACTTACTTACCTGGAAATGTTAGGAGGTGCCTTGTCAGGAAAGAATGGAGTAAGGATTGTCTCAGAGTTTGGGGACAGCAGCTTGAACTCATAATTACTTTTGTTGAAGTTCAAGAATAATGCAAACAAGAACAAACCCCGAGTGCAACATACATTCCTCTCCAAGCTTCTGTGTGCAAAAGGGGAAGGAAAACAAAATGGCCAAGGCCCCCCTTGGGCTGAATGACACCAGCGCTGGTATTGTGAGGTCACTGTCTGACACCAAATGATTCTGCAAAAGTCGCCTGGACGGGATGGCTTCTTCCCATAGTACCTGCTTTAATGTAGGGGGCACTGATGATTATTTTCCTTTCAGTTTCAGAGCCCACCATGAAGAGACTCCTCGTTCTTTGCGACTGCCTCTGGGCCTGGAGCCTGCTGCTGAATGCACTGACTGAAAGAAGGTGAGGAGATGTTTTTCAATGCATCGACATGTTTTGGGAACCTTGAATTTAATGCGGCAGTGTAATATTGCATGGGCTGCACTACTGCTCAGTGTATTGAGGAAAGTTAATCCCTATTCAAATCCCAGATAAATCTAACTAAGAGAAGATTGAAAGAAAACTGCAATTTGTTTGCATAACAATATATATTTTTTAGCAGTATTGTGAATAAAACAAAGCAAAGCCTACCTAAAACAAGCTAAAGGCACAGTGAGTTTTAAACACCTATCCAGTCTTTTATATTCTTACAGAATGACTGCTGGAGAGTAAAACTTACTTAGAGAAGAAAAAAAAAAAAAAACCTGTGATTAATGTGCTTTGTTTTGATTTTTATTTTTAATTTGAGTGCTTGCTCATAACTTTTTCTCCTGTGGGCGCTGCTGGAATGCTCCCAGCCCCGTAGCTCCTTCTCCCATTTTATCCCCAGGGGAAAAGGGAATAGAAGTCATTTTTTGTTGGGTGAGGATTGTGTTCTAAGTCAGTACCTGTGACTCCAAAGCAGACCTCCTTGGTGAAGTGGGACTGCTTGGGTAAGGAATAGGCAAGCTCAAACCTGACAGCTGAACTATGTGAAAGACAATGTTGCATTGAATTTTTATGGAACGTATGTAAAAGTTTTGATCTAAAAACAGCATTCAGAACAATCAGTAGTGGTACATTATCCAACAGCGAGTATGTTAACTAAAAACTGTAAGGTAATTTGGAGTATACTGAAGGCTATGACATTCAAAAATGAGTAAAAGGAGTTAGGAAGACTGGAAGATACATTTCTGTATTTTGAAAATATCTGTGTATTGTCAGTAGTGCTGCCTCATGACCCAGCAGCAGCTTCAGTTTTGCTGTGTTGAGAGTGATTCCTATAAGATTCATTTGCGCCTGGCTGTCCACAGTGTGTTCTCACATATGAGCAGCTCTAGATGAGCTTACCTTCTGGTTCCTTAACGAATTTCAGTAGACTGAAGTGTGCAAAAGGACAAAGGTTCATCTGCACAGCTGTTTTCTCTTAAAAAAAAAAAACAGAAATAAAAGCAGTTGATTCCTTTAATGTATAGAATAAGTGTGATGTTTTAGAAGAAACGCCTTTGTTTTGATCACATATTAAGAAACATGAGGTTTTCAAGTGTTCATGAAGTCCTACACCTGGCCTGCCTAGGTAATCTTGTGAAAATGTGTTGAGTTGTTATATCAGTATGTGTACATCTACATGTGGATGTTCATGTGTGTTCTGTCTATAACGTACACAAGTGCATTCCTAATGCGAGAATTAAAATGCATTGGACTAGTGTTTAAAAATTATATGGTGTGTCAGTATTATAATGACCTGTAGATGGAGTTAGTGCACAGTGTTTTATTATACTGTGGCTTAATATGAAACCACAGTCACATACAGTCACTTTTCCCACAAATGTACATATTCTTCATAAATTGCATCTGTTTTTAGAGCCATTTTGTCATAGTAACTTCCCTTGCCTTTTCTTCTGGAGTGCTATTAATTCTTTAAGAAAAAAAAACAATTGTCAGACAAAATGTTTGCGATGCAGAAGCACACAGTCCTTCCATATCATTTTTCATGAAAAACAAAACACAAAATCCAGAACAGCACTGGGGCTGCTTTAACATGGGAGTTTTGACTGAAATATCACAGCCCCTGTGGAGCTGCAATGTGCTTGATACGTACACAAATGTTCAGATTCTTCCTGTTGTGATGATGTGTCCATTAAAACCGGCCCTAATGGTGCTCTTTACCTCTGAAAAAATGGTGGAAAGAACAGGTGAGGGTACTGACAGATGCAACAGCCAGGGTGGAAGCGCTGTGTTGTATTGCATCTGCTCAGACTGTGCTGCCTCTATAGTCCATTTTTCTGACAGTGCTTCTGCAAACACACTCAGTTATTTACCCCTAGAATTTCTAAAATCTTTTTATATCCTTTTGCCACCTTAATTCTGATGACCTTCTGCTATCCTTGAGAGATGTATGTGCAGCAGCTTGTTTAATGACAATGAGTGTTAATAGAGAATGTAATCCAGTGAACATTTCTGTATTCAGTTCTACATAAGACATACAAGAAAAAATGCTTTACAAGATACTGCTCAAAGGAGACAGCAAGAGAACTTGTTATTTAGTGACATACAGGAAAAAGAAAAGAAAAACATATTAGCATCTTACAATGCACCTGTGGGTATGAAAAATAAATACAAATCAACCTAATCTGTATTAAGTGAAATTGTATGATGTGACTAGAAGAAATGCATAGTATTGCTAGCATTTTTAAAAGGCTGTTTGAGATTTTTTCTTCTTCATTAGGAACAGTTATTTATATGCATTGAAGTACCTTGAAAAGTGTTCTCTACAAGTCACATATGAGTGAAGTAAAACAATGCTGTGAATGTCAGATCTAAAACTTGTTCAAATATGCAGTGATACTTATTCAAATCTGAACTGCGAAATAGCTTGGAAGCATTTGCAGAGCATCCATACTCAGACAACCTCTCCTCCTTTCTGTTTGATACAAGTGGAATATCTATGTCAGATATACAGGAATGTTTGACTTAAAAAGGATGCATTGCTAGATAATAATTTTGCAGCTACTTTAAGGGGATCAGCTTGTTTTGCATATTGGTAATATTCCTTGCAAGACAGCCTTTGCTGGTTAGAGCAGAAGTGACTGTCAGAGCACAGAGAGCCATGTACCACCAGGATTGTACAGATAGCAAACTGCTCACTGTGGCTGTAGCTGAGCTTTACAGACGTTTCTGGTACTGCACTGTTGATCCAGTTCAGTATCAAGCATGAGAAAGTGATGTTCTGCAAAGCAGTGTTTTGTATTTCAGTCATGATGACTACACATGTTTAGAGTGGAAGTCCTCCCAGCAATGAATGAAAAAAATGGTACTGGGCTTGGCTTTAAGACAACTGTAATCTATGATTAAGGGAATTATCTATGATTGGAAAGGTTTCAGATTTAAGAAAAAAGTCAATTCTGATGCCTTTTACAGCAGACAGAAACCACTAAGCCCAAGGACTTCGTTCTGATTTGTAATGATGGAAGTAAGGTTTTGGTAGCTGAGTTCAAAGAGCTTAATTCTGCCCTTATTCAAGCAAAATTTCAGGACCTTTGGCTGAGTTAGAGTAATACATTCAGAATCTGTAAGCAAAGCTTTAGAGATAGGACAGATCTGCTTCCCAAGAAGTGGTTCCGTCCTTAAGGAAAAATGGGAGACATTCCCCTGAATGCAGCCACTAGAAGAAAACAGGAAGCAAAGCACAATTGTTTACAGACTTGTGATAGTATACCCTCATATGATTTACTTATTTACTCTTGGTGGGATCTTGATTTTGTTTTTTTTTAGCATTTATTTTCAGTTCTTAAACAGTGCTCTCACTTTTTTTTATGCAAATCACTTTGTATTTCTTAGCATGCAATTCCTTCATTATCTGTTGTAACACAAATGAGCCTTTTACTGAAAACATGTTGGAATATTATAAAGATTACTGAATAATGAGATAAGCATTGAGGAATTGAAGTTATATTTGCTCACCTCACCCTTCATGGAAAGGCACTAGTTTTCTCAGATTTCACTAAAAATGTACAATTTAAAAATAAAATGTTTAAATGAAACAACCCTGTATTGCAATTTTCTGGAGGAGATTTTATGGTCATAAATCAGAATAATCAGGATTAGACACATTTTGGAATTATTGCTTTGTGAGGTTCCTGATAACTGTGTTTCAGTTTTAACTGTTGTGTATTTCAGCTATGGACAAACCTCATCGCAAGATGAACTTAAAGACAACACCACAGTATTTACCAGGATATTGGATCGCCTGCTGGACGGTTATGATAACCGCCTGAGACCAGGACTGGGAGGTGTGTTAAAATTTTCAAAGTGTTAGAGAAAAAAAACAATTAAAACAATGTTATTTTTCCAATATAAACTTGTTTTCCTTCAATTTATAAATATATATATAAACGTTGATATGTAGTATCTGTTTCTTTCAAAAATGCTGTGCTGTCTTCCATATACTCAGTTTTCACACATTTTTGCTTGAAGAAAGAAAATGGTTGACAATTCTAGACCTCTGAATATCTATTAAAATTTTGAATGTAGGAAGAATAAAAGATGTGACCTGACAAATGGCAAAAACTGATGAATCAGACCCAAACAGCACATGCAAGCATGCAAAAATCCCACTGACTAAGAGTAAGAGGATCTGGTTTTAAAACAGAAAACATCAATTAACCTTAGTCATATAAATGTCTCAGAGAAGTTTATAACATTTTTTCTCCGTTGGGTATGTCAAGATTTGTTTCTGTAACATTTTGTCTTTGCAAGTTGGTAATAATGTCTTTCTTCTGCTCTCAGGGCTGAATCCATAAAGAGTTATAAAACCATATAGCAATTACATCTTTATAAAAATATTCTTACAAACCCTACTCCTTATCAGCATCCCTGTGTTGACTCTCTGATTAGTTCGTCAGAGACATGATCCAAAAACTCGGTCTTAAAAGGTTGTAAAGGTAGAGATTCTAACTGTGCCACTTTCCCTCCCCAGCAAAACAAAAACAAAGCAACACACCCACCCCACGAAGTTTTACTTAACCGATTTCATATACCAGTTCTCAGCAGAACCACCCTGTAAGAAAAACAGGGCACACTGCACTAAGAATTCTTATGTCATCTGCTGCGGTTGAAAGGAAAGATAATTAAAATTAATATTATTCTGTGACTCAAGGCTAGCATCTTGCAATAGCTCTTGCATTGTGAGCCTTCTTCTTCCATGGTTTGACTTCACTGACTTAAAAGAATGACATAGATACAGAGATAAAATTCTGTTTATAAAGGGTCTATTAGGAAAAAACATTCAAAAATGGGTTGGTTTGTAAATTTTTGTGTGCAGTTTCAGATAATATAAAACAAAATAAGAATAACTTATCTACTGGTACTTCTTATTTGCTTGCAAACCTTTGGATTAGTAGAGAAACAAATGCTCTTTAATCTTTGATTAATGCAACTGTAGAATTCAGTAAGCTACTATATCACAGTAAATAAACACAGCACAGAAGGCAGTAAATAAACGAAACTCTGCAAACTGTGTAAAGTCTGGTACACGTCTGCAAGAAAAATCTGAGAACATGATGATTTCTTGTGAGTTTTGTAGCTGTTAGGATTTATTTCACAGTTACTGGAAGAGTAAACAAAAGGAGACCCACAGAAAGGAATTTCTCTCCTCTGGATTGCAATCCAGAGATTGGTCACAAGGTCTGCGTAGACCCAGGCCAAAGACCTGTAAGACTACAATTTGCCTTTTACTCAATACAGTGCACATTTGTGATGTCAGTACCTCAGAATAAATTTAAATTTGCTCTTCTATTCCTCAGTGTAGAACACTAGAACTAAGTGTATCAAGACCTTTTGAGAATCCCACATCAGATGAAATTCTGTGCAGTAGATTCATGTTTGTATAATGAAGATGTTATAATCACAATATAATTGCGTATAATCAATAGATATCAAGATGTTATAATCACAATACAATCAAGAGAATTAGGCAAAGTAGACAACGATCACAAAAGAGAATAAGTAGAAGAGCTTACCCTTTGGTTGAGCTCACCAGAAAACACCAGGAGAGGAGGTCTTCAAAAGAGATCCTTCCCCTCTGGTAGCCAGCTCTTAAATAGGTCTAGGAGGGGTGGAATTGCCTTCACCTGTGCTCACCTCAGGTGATCAATCAGAGGTTCAGGCTGTGACTCAGCAGTTCCCATACACATGTTTAAAATGCTTGATTCAAAAGACATGATTTTATTCCACGAACTAGAGACATACATATAGGCCAGTAGTTTTAATTATAATGCTAATTTATAATAAAGGGTTTATGCTGGAATTCAGCTGGAAGTTCAGCTTTTCAAAACATTGTGCCTAGGAAACTCGAGATAATGTAATTTTGATGTATTTCATTTAGATAATTTGGGGGAATATATTCTGACATGTTCCAGACATAGAAATATCCAGCAAGAAGTGCAAATTTATGTATCAGTACAGCATGGTTTTTGGAGGCAGATGTTCAACAGCCTTCCATTACAGTTTGATCCACTACTGGAAATTCAAAATGTTTGCACTTTCTTTTTTTCTGTGTCTTCTAAGAAAGAGTAAATGAAGTAAAACAATGCATGGTATGGTTACTTTCTCCTATAGAAAGGGCCAAATTGCAGAAAGCTCTCTGCTTATCCCTCTAAGACCTCTCCTTATGTACTACACGTATACATATTCCAAATATATGGGAAACTGAATTATGTACATGAACAGAAACAAAAAAGAGAATGAATTTCTGACTAATTTTGAACCTCTCTTTCAGCATGTGTGGAGTCAGTGCCTGATTAATTTTAAAGCCTCCCTTTTTTAACATTTACTTTTGCGGTATCATCTCAAAATGAAAATGAAGAAATGCATATGCTTTTCAGAGAACAAGGCATTAAATACTATTAGTTGTCAGATTACTTAGTAAGACCATACCTGAAATAAAGTGAATAGCTCTGAGCATTCTGCCATTAAACAAAGAACAAATTACTTATCCTTAGAAAGAATATAAAAATATGGATTACGGGACCCATTGGGAAAAACTGCTGAATAACTGAATATGTGTATTATTTTAAAGAACGGCATTGTGGCTAAAATTAATCTCATTTTTCTTTAAAGGAAAAACACAGCATTTCGTTATGCACTGACAAATTTCCACCTGTTATCAATAATCATTGATATAAATTGTGTTATTTAGATGTTCACTGCCTGCATATGTGGGCACAGTCATTTAGTCAGACATCACTAGGAAACAGCATCCTTAGCATCCATCCATAAACGTGGACAGATAACTATATTTACAGTTATTTCTGCTTGGAAAATAGAACTTTAAAAATGAATCTAAAAATGTTTTGAATCACACTAGAGGACCCCTATTAACTCTACAAGAGGATACTCATCTACAAAAAGGAAGATGGAGGGATTGTACAGAGTAATGTGCTGAATCTGAAAAGGAGGGAATCATAGCAGACATTAAGAGAAAAAATTAAAAGCGAAGTCACTTAGGTAAAAGCTTAATTTCCTGTGTGAACTGAATGCATCCTAGTACTAGGAGTGAAAAAGATGTTGCTCACTTTTCCAATGCACAGTGCTGAACAAAAGAAAGAATCAGACCGTAATCTGAAGGTGGTCTATAAGGAGGAAAACTGAAGTCAATGTTTGGTGACCTCCCGTAGTAAAATTCTGTATCTATGGTGGGAGTTTAAAAGAATGGAAAAGCAATAAGAAATGATACAAAAATAAGTTTTGTGAATAAATGAATATCACGTTGACTTTTGTTCTGGGATGTATTCATGTGGAGAATACATACAAGTCCTAGCTTACTACCATGGCAGGCATGGAGGGCCACAGGGTAGAGAGAGCTTTCACAGGGCAAGTTGTTTGCACCCGGTGCTTGAGATTCAGTAACATGATATCAGGTGTAGCTACAAAATTTTTTTAAATATCATCTTAGTGTACACATCTCCTCTATAAAACTAAATGATATCGGGTGGTCTGTGACCTCTCAATTTAGAACAACTGCAAATGCTACTTATCCCTTTGAGAGGGATTTTGTAGTGCGAAGATGGATTAATACAAAACTAAGAAGAGGTTTGATCAAGCAGGTCAGATAACATCTCCCTAAATTGATTTTGCTTTTATTGTTGGGTTGAGTGGCCATTAGAGCAGCCCAAATAGATCACAAATACTACTTTAGTATTGAACAGAATTATATTTTTATAATGTTATCAGTAAGGGATATTTGTTATCTGTCTTTTGTGATGGATATCAACACTGAGTGTGACTGTCCCTAAGTGGAATGTTGGTCCATCTCAGGCAATTCATTACTTCCACAAAGTGCTTATATTTAAAATGACAGAGAATAAACTTGACAGTATTATGCTAAATAGGCTTTAAAATTCAGCTTTTCTAGAGCACTGTCTATAAATATATGATAAACTGACCTTTTGGTGATCGTGGTCCCAGTGGAAATTGTTTAATTTAAGCTCACATCTAAACTAACTTATAATTTCGTGGAAATATGGTTCTAGTCTGTATATGCAATGAAAATTTAATTAAACTTTATTTATTTCTATTTTAAATGAAAAGAGAGACCTATACTGAAGCTTACTCGTAATCCCATAATGAAGAAGCATCAGATACTATACTTCGCCCTCTAAGAACTTAAAGGGTTTATTTTGTTTTGTTTGCAACTCTGTAGGTAACTGATGTAAGGACAGTTGTAAACAGAGAAGACCTTAGGAAAATAGCTTTGATACAACAGTAGAGACGTTCTTCACTATGAGAGTGGTGAGGTGCTGGCACAGGCTGCCCAGAGAGGTTGTGGATGCCCCATCCCTGGAGGTGTTCAAGGCCAGTTGGATGGGGCGCTGGGCAGCCTGGTCTGGTATTAAATGTAGAGGTTGGTGGCCCTGCATGTGGCAGGGGGGTTGGAAATTCATGATTCTTGAGGTCCCTTCCAAACCTGGCCATTCTGTGATTCTGTGACTCTGTGGAGGCAGCTTTGAGCTGTTAACTGCTGTGGGGAGGGTTAGCATGTGATGGCGTAGCTGCCTTCATAGCAGCGTGGACTATGGCTGAGCAATGTCAGGACAGGCCATTGTTCTCCATTTTGGTATCTACTTTTGAAGTCCATGTGCAGTTTTTTCTTCAGTAGGAGCAGTTTACACCATACAGGCATCTAATTCCCTTTCATTCAAAACCACAGGAAGACTCTTCTCCATTTTAATAATTATAGCATACACTTAAACAAGACATGCAGGGGGAGCAGGTGCAGAATCAAAAATAAGGAAATTAATTTAAAATACGAAAATGAGTAATTCTGATAAGGCTTGTGTTCATATACCAGCAGGTGAGAAAGGGAAATAGTTAATGTATAGTTTTCTATGATAAATGGGCTTATTTCATGCTGTTAAAATCAATCTATATTCCTTATTTTGTTCTCAATTTGTAATCCAGTCACAATTCTAGAAATAATAACCTCCCTGGGAATTTAAATCAAAACACTTATTGTTTTTACGTATTAATTTAAAGTGTTTATCCTAGCATCATTACCAAAACACAGTGGTTGTAAGCAATGACAGTAGTTTACACTGACTGATGCTTTCGTAGGCATATCTGGATCAAAATAATTTCCCCCTGATATAAACCAGTTTATTGCTTGATGTTGTGTTCTGGTGCCTACATGTTAAACACAGTAGTCCTTTTGCTGACCAGTTGGACCTTACAGTGTACATCATTAAACATAATGTAAAGCTAGTTGGTCACTAATAATTTACTTTTTATTTTATTATTATTTTTTAATGGAATTACACGATCTACAGATATCTTATCAATTCCTGGTTCAGGAAAAAGATGTTATAGTCAAGAGACATGGCCAGTGTATTCACAGTCGATGGATTTATCCTCAGCAGTAAGATCAGCTCCTGGCCTGAACTTGTTTTGTTCAATAGCTTAGAATTTTCTCTAGTTCTTAGGGACATTGTAAAGATTTTGAATATAGATCAGGATTTGAAGTTCTTGAAACAAATCTCAGTGCATTCTGAGCATTTGAAGCACAGTTAAGCCTTCCCATGATATTCAAGCTCTAAACAGAACATGGTTAACCTTGATTCTAAATATACATCCTAACTGTATGCATACAGTAAACGCATCTTCTGTGCAGGAGTGACTCACAACGTTTGAAGCTCTAAACACAGCGCAGCTGAATCATCTATTTAGTAAAACAGTAAACAAAAATTTCAGAACTTCCACATAGATTTGGAAGGGCTAATTTATGTCTTCATACAGATTTCCACATTTTTCTCACTCTTGAAAATGTGGTACATATCAAAGGAAAAACTAATCATCTGATGATGTGCATTTTTTTTTTTTTTTTTTTTGGATTTGAGGAGGACAGTGATTAGATGGTCTGTAAAAGTCTAACTGGTATGATGGTAAGAGTCTGTTGTGATTTCAGAATCAAATTTTTCTATTACTAATTATGAGTTTTGTGTCACTTAAATTATCTTTGCTGCAGTATAGAAATGAAAAGCACCACTAATTTTCTATTTATTTATCAAAAACTTTCCATCTTAATTTGGAAGCCTTTAGTTTCCATTTTGTTTCCCCAAAATCATTTCCTTGAACTTTAACCTCCACACCATGACCTTATGTCTCCTAAATCTCTGAGTTTATATTATTAAGAATGAATCCCTTGGGGCTGATTCTGAAGAGCTTCCAGCATCTTCTGTTTCCTAATGACACTTGTGGGAATGCCTCAGTAGAAAGGAGATGGAAAAATGGCAAGTCAGAATGAAGGATCTTTTAAAGAGTTAGAGATTCGCTTTTCAATATACAGAAAGCTAATAGATCTTATGATGATAGTAGATTCTCAGTCTCAAGAAAAGATGATAAAACATCTGTAACTTAAAAAGTGTACTCATGAGTGTCTTACTGGACCTTGTGAAAACTATGTCTTCTTTTTCTGCTGGCTGTTTCATACCAGACCATAGCTTTCACCTCTTGAACTTTGTAAAAGTGATGAGTTGAAGGAGAGAGCACTCTTCTTCCAAGCCAAGTACTTTCTGGATAACCATATTCTTCTTCCCGTAATAGAAGATTAAATTCTCACTGTGGATTTCTTTAAGACAAGAGTCAATTAGATGTCAAAAGAATCCTTAAATTTCTCTGAGTCAGTTGAAAAGCTTGTAAACAGTGATAAGGTCATGCCTTCATTTCACTGGAGAGCCAAGTAGGAAATTGCACCTATCCAATGGTTTTGTCAGATTCAAAGAACCAAAAGAGCCACCATTAAGCAACTCAGCTACATCACAGTACTTTACTTTCTATAATTACAAATAATAAACTAGAAATTTCATCCTTCAGTTTTTCCAACGAGTGCTACAGATTTCCTACTTCCTGATTTTTGAACTGATTTTCTAACAGAATACAAGGGTCATTCAGTGCATTACAGAAATGATGGTAGAATGAGAAGCAATTTTACATTCAGATTATTGCTATCTTACAACGAGAGGCATTTTTTTGTATAAAGTTTTTTATTAAAACTATGAAACATATATATTGACAAGTTGTAGAGCTTTCAGAATGCAACTGAAAACCCTATGTACACTGTAGAACACTGACTCTCATTAGAATTTTTGGGTTATACGTGGAAGTGTATATTGTTTTTAAACATATTTCACTTTTCTTTGTGTAAGAACTTCAATTAATCTTGTTTGTTCCCAGATGCAAAAAAAAAAAAAAAAAAGAAAAAAAAAGAACAAAAACAATGAAAAAACCACCACCAACAAGAAAACACATCTGAAATGTTTTTCAAATCAGAGGATTCTATTAATTACTTTCATCTAATTTTACAATATTTAATAATATATAGATGCTATAGATCTATATATGTTTCTTAGTCTTATGACTTCTTAGTCAGTTTTTGCTTCGCTGCATGACCTTTACTTTCTGTACATGTACTTTTCTTTTAGCCTCTTTAAAATTAGTTTTAGTGTAGCAGATTTCACACATTATTTATTTTATTTGGAAGTTATTTGAGAAATGCATATCTCCTTCCACATTTGAAATTCCTAAAACAAACAAACAAAAAACCACAACAAAAACAAAAAAAAAACAACCCACACTGGTTTCTATAGTGCTCATAGTAAATAGTAAATATTCTGAGATCAGTCTAAGTTCTGAGAGCTGATGGGGTTACCCCCACTCAACACTGTTAGGATGTATGCCTTCAGGTGGTGTTATTCCCTGCAACTATATTTAACTCAAGAGAGTTATTTTGATACTTGCCATCCTGGGTGAGCATTTTCTGATGTGCATCCTAGAAAATACCAGGATGCTCAGAAGTGACTGGTAGTCTGAGTACAGGGGGCAGGGAGAGGAAGGAGAGAGATGCAGTTTGTGAATTTCTTAAAGGAACTTTAAACAGTGCATCCCCATAAGCCAAATGTTTGGTTCTGTGTGGAAATCAGACAGACATATAAAAGATATAGTAGAGAGGTTGAGATTATGTTCATTTGGATCAGTTTTAACTTGTTTTTGTTTCTCATAATCAGGACTAATGAAGCCATCTCATGCAAAAAATAAATAAAAATCTTTACTTTTTTATACACTAGAATGTATTTTATCTCTCTCTTTTTTCTATGTTTCTGTGTCTTAGCACTAAATGCATAATTCATAAGCCTGGGGTTAATTATTAGAGACCTTCAATCAGCTTGCCCAGCAGCACTAGGTACCCAATAAGACTTTTAAGAGTAAAGTGTAAAATACCTGGCACTATCTGTATTGTCAGACAAAAACCTTTAGTAGTCAGAGAGTGACAGGATTTCTACAACAGCAGAACTATGTCTGCTGTTTCAGTACAAGTCATGTCTCAAAAAGTCCCATGGAAACACGACAACAAAAAAAAATGTTGCTGACAATATTCACTGTGAAATTACATTGAGAAGCAATAAATTATCAGGACTGTATTGTAGACCAATTTTAGAATTGCTAATCAAAGCCAATAATTTTTCTATTTATTGTGAGAATTGGTAATGGTTAGATCTAATGAAGACTGTTGATAGACACTCACTGTCCTAATTTCCTGCTTCATCAGAGCGTGTAACTGAAGTGAAGACTGACATCTTCGTCACCAGCTTTGGGCCTGTTTCAGACCATGATATGGTAAGTGATGGCCTGTATTTCTAGAGCATTCATTTTCTCTTGTCTTTTTAATCTGAAGGATGGAGGATGTAAGCAATAACTTATTTACTACTGTTTGGGTTTTTTTTGAGCACTTGATTCCAAAATGCTGTCAGCATTTATGTGCAGTGATTCCTGCTAGCTGTGACTGCATTTAAGTGCCCTGAAATTAGCATCCTCGATGACTTTAATAATGTATTTTAACAGACCTTATATTTGCTACCTAATATATTATGAAATGCATTAAGGTTTGGATCAGTACTCTTCTGAGAATGATTGCTCAGGTCCTTGCTGGCACATCACTGATCCAATTTGCTGAGAAAGATCATAATCTTAAAATGCAATTAACACTTGTGCTTACAATGTGACATCCATACACTCTAACCTGTATTTTTATATTAAAAGCTACTGATCAATGGGAAGTGAGTTTCTTCGAACTTGGCTGCTGAAAGAGAAGAGAAGATTAATGAGAGAATTAGTGTCACTTCTTTATGGCATGAATATGAAAATCAAATTGCCAGATAACTGCAGGGGATTCAGAAGTTCAGAAAACTGAATGAAGATGTTGCGATCCCTGGTCTTAAGAGATAAAAAAAAATGTGTAAAAATATGGATAAAGTACTTTAAATTAAGCATCTAAATGAGATCTTCATTGCTATTGACAGGGAAAGCCTGGTTTGCAATTACTAGTATCTGTTGGATCCTGTATAAAGATGAATGCTGAAAACATCCCCATCAATTTAAATGGGGGGGGAAAGAAAGAAAATTCAGTCTTGTTACTGCTTGCATTTAACTAGAAGCATTCACAGAAGAAAGAAAAAATAAGAACATGTGGAAAAAATATCATAGGAAGTTCAATTTATCTCTTCAAAATTGTCATTTGTTTAATCAAAACTGAAAATGTAGATGGGCCTTAAACGCCAAAACTACAGAGCAAGTAACTCTTCTAAACTACTTTATTTTCATAAAAGAGCTTTATGCAAAGCCACCATTTTCCTGACTGCTTGGATGACACTATTTATAAAACTACAATCAAAACTGTATTTCCAACTCACACCATCACATTTACATGAGAAAGAAAAGCTTGGACTATTTCCAGCTTCTGCTAGGAAGTCCTGAAATCAAAGGGCAATCCAGGGAAACAGTCACACTGATGACTTGTCTCCTCAGTTCATGTATGGAGTGCTGTGTCTAAGTACTGTACCATGAAGAAGAATTCAGAAAAATTCAATAAATTACTCCTGCACTTTTTTAAAAAATGTTTTGAAACACAATTCCTAGACATTGGTCTAAATTATACATTAAAATGTGAGGTTTTTTTTTTTAATTAAGAATTGCTTCTGACATCTAAACTTCTTGCTCTGGTGATTGAATGAGCAATTTTTGCTTTTCCAGTTCTGTCTGGAAATAGATAACCAACCATGAAACTAAATGAAAACTTCAGACACAGTCATGGGTCTAATACACACTTAATTTTTAGCGTTGAATTAAAATTGCAGCAGCTGTAGCTTGTGAAGGCAGTTGCTTGATTTTTTTAGAGATCTGTCTTTTTGGGAGGTAGATAGTTAAAAATTCCTGAAAATTAAATTCTTTTGAAGTATTGGAGTGGACACAGATGCTTGGAGGAGGTGAGAATAAAAAGAGTACTAGATACATGCTGGTGAAAACACAAGGTAACACTTGTTAGAGTTACCTGACCAACCTACTGCATGATCTGTTGAGTCAGATTTACTAAGAAATTCAATTAAGGAGCAGCAAGTTAATAAACAGGCACCGATGCTTTCCTACTCACAGACATAAATTTAGAGCAACCAGTGATCCTTCTATATTATTTGGGAATAGTGTGTCTGGACTTCACTGTGTACTTACAGTTGATAGTTTCAGATGATTTCATTATTGAGTAGAAGGTAAAGCTAATTTGATGTTCCTGGGAAAACTAATATTTGCATAGGATTTGGGTTTCTGGGATAAAATATTGAAGTCAAAAATAATCTACTTTCAAAATTACAAATAAGTATACTTGGAAAAAAATAAATTGACCTCAGTATAGCTGCATGATTATAGCATAAGCAATCACTGCCAAAAAGCAGACAGGCAGGTGTTCACAGATTTTGAAAAGCAAGAGACCACAGAAAAGGATTTAGTGTAATACTCCTACTCACCTCGCATAGAAAGTAATGTGTGTACAGCCTACTTATGCTAACTCTTCTGCTTAAGGAAATGTGTGAAAATGAGAGAAAAACATAGAGGGAAAGATCAAATGAAGAGCTTATCCGAATATAAATTCATGTTAATTCCATGCACATTTAATGCAAAGCCTTCTGTGCATGCTACAAGTTGACTGTGGACACTATCTTTTGAGAGCTACCCCAAATTTGCTCCAGTGAGCAGAATGACAGTCAGCATTGACTGGGTTATGGGATCTGGTCACAGGAGGGTCTCACAGGCATCTGTATTGGCATGCCAAGGGGATGGTGCACTGCTGTCTGAGCCTAGACTGATGGCTTGAGGCTGGGAATGAGCTATTCCAGCTGACGCCATATGTTATAAAACTACAGCCATAGTGAGACACCAGCATACCTAGACCATCTGTTTGCAGGAATCCAGTGAGGCAGTTATATAGATAGTAGGTTGATATATCAGGCAGAACATGGTGTTCCTACCCACTCTCAAGACACTCTTTTAAGAACAGCATAGACATAACCTGTTATTCTATAAAAAGAATGCCTTCTCTCCATCTTAAACTTGTGAATAAAGTTAAACAGGAGAAAAACACCTTTGGAAATAAAAACATCTAATCTTGGAAGACCCTCACAGATCTTGAGGCACGATCTTTCGGATGGTGGATTGAACTAATAAGCAGATAACTGCTTATTCTCACATAAGTGTCATTGTTTTGAAATTTGTATATATATTGCCTGGAATAAGAAGCATTTACAGTAATTTTGTTCATTAAAAAAAAAAGAAACACAAAAATAAGCCAACAACACAGTTTTCCCAGTAAGCCTTCATTCCCACTGCTTCTCTACTGTATGCTTTTTGGGAAAGAATTTCTGCCTTTGTACCTTCCTATATATCACCTAGTACAATACAGACCATGTTGTGGTCTACCATGTACATAAACAACTTCCAGGGAGAGCGAACAGATGAGTGGCTTAGAAATGTATAAAGTACTAAAGATTTCCTGCCTGAATCTCTCATTTAGGACAAAGTACTGTAAATATTCAGTACTACACAATTCATTGGCAAAGTGCAAATAGGAATCTTCTTTCTTTACTTGCATGCTAAGGATAGAAGAATCTCTGTGGAAAATTTATACTGAATTTTATCTTGCTCACCCACTTGCACATAAAACAGTGCTACAGAACACGGTTTCTTCTGATGGCACTCTATGGAAGAAAGCTATAATCAGAGTAAGAGTTATCTGATGACTTGATCTTAAAGATCAGCTGTCTGTCGGGATTCATTTGAGGAGAATTATTGTACATGTTGAAGCAGGTAGTGAAAGCTAAGGGGGTAAGACAGCTCAGCCAAAATGGTTTATGGCGCAGCAGCCTGGGATAGAGAATGATGCAGTTTATGCCAGGCAAGATCTGTCAGCCCCTTTTTAACTGAATCTTGTTTTCTGCTGTCAGATTCCTTTACCAAACCTTCCAGACTCTTTGTTCTTTCAACAGCAGAATACTATGCTCACATAAACGGAATACCCATACACACTTCTCTAAACCTGCACCACCTCCCACCTTTTGCAGTTGCGAGAGAAAATGAGTGGCTTAAATGGCACACTGAAGTGGGATCCCCATCTGGGCACGTCTTTTACTCTTCCCATGCATGTAAGAAGAAATCCTTGGAGCTAAGGAAATACAGTATTTTACTGCCTTTTATACCTCCTCTGTTTTCTACTCTTCTACACATTTGGGACACTATCTTGCACAGGATTCAACCTGAGGCTCTGATCCAGCAGGGTTTTGAAGGAAGATGTGGCTAAAAGTGCACAACTGCTGTCACTGGAGCTGAACAAATCCAGCCTCCAGCAGCACACTGAGCATGTGATTAAGAAAGTGAAAATGCTATCATCTTTGCAATTAAATATGCATCAATGTGATTCACAGGTCTCAGATGAAAACACCACCAACAACAAAGATCATCCCCTGGAACTACATTTTATTGTCCATAATAAACTTATTTAGGTGTTTTGAGCCCTGAAAACAGGAAAAAAATGCCACAAGACTATCACCATCGATACTTGCTGATAGTTGCATAAGTAATACACAGCTCACAGTTGCTTATGTTGTACAATGCTGCCATTTTTTCAATAAAAACCAGAAGTCTAAAGGAGACTGCAAGAGAAAGATTTTAAATGTTCACTTTATTAATATATTCCTTGGGGAAGCTCTTTTACTTGTAGCACTGTGTGCCAGAAACATTTGCCTTCAGGATTTGCCATCAATCATTGGCAGGAGATCTCAGAAAAGGTTCCATTTCTCGGCCAAAAGATTATCATTCAGGGTAATTTGAACAGTGTTTGGATGGCTGCTTTTGACATTTATCACAAAATCATAATCAAGAATGATGGAAGGGCCAGGGTAATCCCATATAGCACTTCACTTTGGGATTGGGTATTTCCCCATGTAAATATTACAGTATACTGCATCCGCAAGACTTTTCCATATTTCCTCCCATCCAGTGTGAAACTATTCTGTCTTTTATTTAGAAAGCACCAACATATGTTTTCTAACTTCACCCTCTGCCTCTTAATTCCTAGAAGAAGGAAATTTGTATGAAGTCAGTCTTCAATTTCATAATGAATGTTGGTTATTTTGATTCTCCCTGTATACACTGAACTCAGCCAATACATCTCTTCCCTATTGCCCCGCACTATAACTCTTGGTCCAAAGTTGTCCTCATCTTGTTCTCTCTCTCTAGTGCAATAATTTAGACTCTGAGCCATTTCACGTCCCATAAACCAGACCACATAATTCAGTGAGCCATGAACTTTTTGTAAGTTGACTGCATGTTCGTGCTAAAGAGGCACCTAGAACAAAAGGCTCTGATAAGATCCTGTCTCACCAGCCTTGTTTTATTCAAAGAGACAAATTCTTCCTGTGCTATGCACAATGGTTCAGTGTCTGCAGGTTCAAATTACAGTTCTATGAAAGGTAAAAGGAGAAAGGGGTGGATTATGTTATTTCCTATATCTTATATCTTCAATTCTTTCTAACTTTTCATATGCCATTCTTCCTAACATTTACTCTGTTCAGTACAGTAATGATGTTGTAGCTGCTAAATAACCAGCTTCAGATACATTGTAAGTAATTTAGAGAATAAATGTTCTGATAATTACTAATTTCATTAATAGTCTTGCTTTAAGGGAACAGTAAAATTATGATTTTCAAATTCCTGTGTTGCAACACATGGCAGTATTACCTTTTCTCTTCTGAATTGGTGTAGGAATACACTATAGATGTATTTTTCCGCCAAAGCTGGAAAGATGAGAGATTAAAATTCAAAGGACCTATGACTGTTCTCCGGTTAAACAATTTAATGGCCAGCAAAATTTGGACACCTGATACCTTTTTCCACAATGGAAAGAAGTCAGTGGCTCATAATATGACGATGCCAAATAAATTACTGCGAATTACAGAGGATGGGACACTGCTGTACACAATGAGGTGAGCCCTCAAATATTTTATCTTTCATTTAGTTTGACAATTTAAGTAGGTAAAGCTATTTTCCAAACAGGAAGCAGGTTCCTTTTTGGGGATTATTTGATTCTTGTTTAATCATCTTTTCCATGACATGTCCAGGAATGATGGACAAAAAGGCATTTGCAAGTGTTTTGTTTTCCTTCCGCTCTGCTACCTTTACACATGCTGCACATTTCTTAATACCTGATTTTGAGAAGGTAGAAGGCCTAGAGAGTCAGGAAACAATCAGTTTGCAGAGGACATTAATTTTTAGTTGCTTTCAAGGATTCCACCAGCAAAGTAGAATTACGGAATAGTTAGGTTCAAAGGTACCTTAGACATCACTTAATTCCACATCATGCTCCAGGACATCTTCCTCAAAACAAAGTTGTCCAAAGCCCCATCTGATGTCACCTTGAACACACTGTAATTTTTTGTGCTTTTTGGGAATCTGAGAATCTAAAAATGTATTATTCCATTTGTAAAAAAAATAACATTTCACTAAAGCATTTGAAATGTTTGTGGGTTTGTTTTGCTTTGTTTTGTTTTTTGTTTGCTCGGTTTTCCTTGTGTTGTTTTTTTTTTTGTTCTGGGATCATTCTTATTGTTAATATATTATTCTTTTTATGACAATAATAACTTGAGCTAATCAGTTGTAAGCAGAGGTCGTTATTTCAAAACAATGATGATGCACAGTGGTGGAAATGTTCTGAATTGAAAAGAACCATGAACTGAGCAATGAAAGAAATAACACGTTGTCTCTACATAGCTATATTTATGTGACGCTTCTGTCTTGGAAGTCAAGATGGGTAGTTCAGTAAGTAGGTGAACAGTGAGCTTTCTTTTAACAATTCTAAAAATATTTTTAAAAGAGTACAAGTATTTGGAGAAAATACAGTCTCCAGACATTTGAGAGCTTACCAAATATGTTCAGTTTGTTCTGAAACATCCTTCAAGACTGCCAAGGCTAGGGTACAGTCTGGTTGATTGGTACTTATACAAGTCTAGGTCAGTTTTTCTTTTCTGGCAAAATGCTTGTTCAGGAATTAATTCCCAAGAACACTACCTTGGTAGCACACTGTTCACATCTCTTTTTTGACCATAACAATTTCTATTTCCTCATATTTGTAAGTGTCTTAATGCAATCTTTTGCCTGGCATTCAAGTATTGCAGTCCATTCCTTGCTGACTTGTGTGTGATATGTGATAGTTTGAGGAAATGTTTTTAGTTTATTTAATTTCTCATACTAAGCAACATGTTGCTAGTAGCAACAAAATGATTTCAACAAATGTTTCAACACCCGAAACTGGACAATTTTGTGATGGCAGCATGGAAGCAATTTTGGTTTCTGAGATTTTACTCCTTATACCAAGTTAAAAGTATAAGCCTGTCTCTGCTGTACAATCAGACATGGTAAAGAGCAGTCAGATTCACTGCTATGTTTACAAAGGTCTATCTGCATTCTGAGACAGGCCATTCAGGTCCTGCTCTAGCTGCTTATTAATCATATAACAGATGATAGACTATTTTATGCGTCTTAATAGAAGTCTATTTACTATTTCTATGAAAGTAGAATAAATATGTCTTTTTGCTCATTGATCCGTTATAGATTGACTGTGAGAGCAGAATGTCCAATGCATTTAGAAGACTTTCCTATGGATGTGCATGCTTGCCCCTTGAAATTTGGAAGCTGTAAGTTTATTTTTAAATTGAGATTTCTCCATTTTGAGGCCACTCTATAGGCATACTGCACAACTGAATAAACGACAAGGTTTTAATTACTTAAACATTACTTAACAGTAGTCTCATTCTTACATATGTTTGTATTTCATAAAATGAATAAGTCATAATATAGTGAATAAGACATAGAAGTGCCTTAAACACGTTCCAGTGTCATGCCTGGACATTCACAAAGGAGAAAAATGGTATCATCCTTAACTTCTAGGGAAGTAGCTTGTCACACACAAGATGTTGTTTATATTAGGGTTACTTTTTTATTGTTTTTTTGAAGTCACAAAGTCAGTTTTAAACATAAGTAATACAGACGGTGAATAATTCAACTGGTATAGGTAAAAATAATTTTCCTACCATGATTTTGTATGTTTAGAACAAAATTTCATCTAAGATTACAATACCATTCATATTTCAGTCATGCAGCATTTCTCAAAGTGGAAAATGTCACAAAATTCCAAAGAGAGATTGCAATTTGCAACAGATTTAACCTTACATTAGAGAATGCACTAAACAAAACATAATATAATTGAAATCAGAGTAATAGCTGGCAGCACTTCAGATAACTTGAGAATTTCTCCCCCAAAACTGAATTGGAGTAGCAGCCCACATGACGCTGATGGTTAAAAGTTTACTAAACTTGTTATTACCAGAAATTAAATAAGGGGTCTGCTCTGAAAGTAATGCCTCCTCTTTTACTTCATTCACCTGAAATGTCAGAAATAGATGTTGGTGAGATGGCAGCAGAGGTTGAACCTTCCTACAAACCTTCCATTCCATTTTGTTGCCATGTGACAGATGGCAGCAAAGGGGCAGTCTGACAAAATGGCATCTGACATAGAAGCATGTATGAAGCAAAGTTGTGTCAGTGAATTCCTCCATGCAGAATAAATGGTACCCACTGACATTCACTGACACTTGCTGAATGTTGTTGGAGACCAAATAGTGATGTGAGCACAGTGAGGCAGCATGTCAGCAGTGGCAGCAGTGTCAGTGGGTCACTTGCACAGGTGCAGGTCTTTATGAGCAGAGCAAGTAGGCTTTTGTTCATCACTGGCATAAATGGATAGCTAATGGTAGCAACTACATTGAAAAACATTGTTTTATAGTTGAGAATTTGCTCTATCAAATAGTGTTATTGTGGTCTTTGTATCTGTTGTAGTTTCCATGGAAATAAAAAGGAGGCATTACTTTTGAAGTGACCTTCTTTCAACCCCTGCTTAAATTCTGAAAGGGGAAAAAAAAGTGAAGATCTGCTTTATTTCACTCAGTTCAACACAAACTAGGAAGATAAAATGTGTGGAAAATACAATATTGTACAAATTGTTTTCTCAGTGGCAATTTTTTTCTAGTAGAAATGGGTCGTTTCACTGATAATGGGTACTTAGTGACTAGATCTATTTTAGAAGCCAACAAACAAAACACCCAATTCATTCTTCACATGGTCCCAGACAGGGTGATGATTTACTTTAGACTGGCTACCTCTGTGCTTACTATGAGAAAGCACTGGTGTTTTCTCTTTAAAGAGCTACTAGCCTCCTAGATACAATTTACAGAATAGAATCTTATACAAACTTGAAGTATAACTGACAGGAATAGCTTAGTACTTGAATGTCAACCTTTCTTACAGCAATTCCAATAAACCTTTTGAAGTTTCCTGTAAATCAAAAAGGGGAAAAGAAGTCGTAGTCTGAATTATATATAGATAGATGCAATGGATCTTTGATCAATAACAGCATATCTGTGCATTTGGGATCACCTGGGATCCCACTTATACTAGAAGCAGTCACGGGACTGAATTTCTTTTGAAATGCATATTGAATGTATGCTGGATCTGGAAGACAGAAAGATGGATAAGCATGCATAAAACCTTCTGATAGAAAGCTAAACCATCAACAGTTTTTGAACAAATGTGAACTAGCAGACTGAATTTTTATATACTTGATGTCTGTCAGCATATCTGTGTATCATTTAGCCACAGCCTCTAACATCAGACACTAAAGTGCGAACAATAGTTTCCATTCTTTTCCTATACTCAGCTATTTTGGGCTCAGTGTGTCCCAGATTAGAGTACTCTTGGCTCAATGAGTACGTGGTTTTCCAGATTAGTAGGGATCTTGCCTTGATTAAATGATGAAGAGATAAAGAAATTATGCAAAGGATAGATAATACAGATGCAAATATAGTTCTGGAATCACAAGGTGAAAACAGGACAGCAAAAATATGTGCTTGTAGTTCTGAATATCATTTGTATCTAAATTTGTTTCCATTTTATTCTACAATACATTTTTATTATCATAATATATATTATTTCCCTTAAATTAACTAAAGGATACTCTAAACTAAAACTAAAGGACAGTCAGTGAGTGTTATTTCTAATTGAAATATCGCTTAATTACCTTAAATTCATAGGTGATAATTAGTATTCCAGTCTCAGAGTGTGGGTTATTTTATTGCACAAACTATTTGCAGTATTTTTTCCTTTTTGAACACAAACTGGCTATTACCATGCCAGCTGTCCCAAACGGGAGCTAACAAAGCATGTGCTTCCAAATGCTGGGAAGTGTTGTGAGACAAGATCAAAGCATTTTCAGGGAAACTGTATTCTCCTAATAGTTTCAAAGGAGCTTATAATGCGAGGTAGTGTGTTCTGCATCATGCTTGTACTGCAAACACTGCAGAGGAATCCACTATCCAAAACAGAACCTTAAATCTGGACCTCCCCCATCCGTCTCATTAGATTATATAGCATAATTACCAGATTATAAAGTATTTCTGTCTCAATATTTGGTTATTCATAAATAGAAGTCTCTCTCACTGGACAAGTGGCTAGACTTGGACAAGTTATGGAAACAGGTCTCATAGCTGTACATATGAAAAGAGAATAAATTTACTCTTACAAATAGAATATATTTTATCTTAAACTTAATTGCTGCTTTTTCAGTGAGAGCCACCTTCCAATACATTTGGGAGATTCCCTTCAGACAACTAAAGTAATTCATGAAATTAATCTTAATGGACTGAAGAATTTACTGAAAAAGACCTTTAATTGTAATGAAAGCCACTTTTTATGTGCAAATTGCAATACTAGACTTAGTAGCTCCCCAAGGTAGTGTTTGCTCAGCCCAGCAGTATTTGTTTTGAATTAAATTGGATAAGAGTTTTTCCATGTCCTCCACTGTTACCCATCTCTTGTTGGAACTGGATTCAGAGAAGCCTAATACTGAAGGAGTGCCACATCTCCCATGGACTCTGCCTGTACTGTAGAGGCCAGTAAATGCTTGACCCAGCTCCAAGGCTAAAATGATTTGCCAAAATAGCAGCTTAAGCTAGAGGTTATTCCAATGTAAATTCAATGTGACAAATGCTAAAGAGGCTTCTGGAACAACAAAAAGCCATATGTTGGCATAACAAAATCAGAAAGGCAGCTGCTGTCCTCAACTCTTTCCACAAAAATCTGATTGTTCTCAATTCTTCCCACAAAAATCTGATTGTCAGTATAAAACGAAGGCAACTCTGCAAAGCAATAATGAAAGGAACAAAAGAATATGCTGCTACTTATGCAATATGTCAACTGGATCCTGAAGATAGGAGGGGGAACACACCATCCGTGGTGAAAATGGTGAACCGAACATGGCTGGATGGCAGCCACTGGGCAGGATAGGGCCCATTTCCAGCCCTGGTGAGTGTGCTGCCTTCCCTCTGAGGTCTCACTCAGTGGTCCTCAGCAGTTCAAGAAATCAGCCCCCTCTCACAGACTTCATGCGTGCTCCAGAGCAAGTAAAATGTTTCTAAGCTGATTCTGTCCCCTTTTCTTTATTTGGCTAAAATAGCAGACAAACCCTTGTAATTACTGTGGCCATTATTTTTAAGGTCAGAATTATAAATAAGTACATTTGCATTTACAGTTGCTTCCAAAAGAACTATGCATATGTTACAGTGCTTGGGGAATATGAAGTCTGAGGGCAAAAGCAACCTTGCACTTCAATAATGCAGGATCAAATGCCATGCAATTAATTTACCAGTATGCTCCATCTAAAACCACCTCTTCAATTACTGTTATCTCTTACACTGATAAGATAAAATTATTAACTCACAAATGAGGTCAAGTGAATCAGATTCCTCCTTTCCCTTTCCTGCTTACCAGGTCTGAAATGCACAGGGAAAATCTCATCTAGGAGGTAGGAGTCAGTCAGTCATTTAAATAGACATTTATAGTGGCATTTTAGATGCCCTAAGATGTCCCATCTGGCTTTCAGCTGCCTCTGCTGGGAGCAAGCTTTACGTAGGTTCTAATCATACATTCAGTCCCATACATGTCTTGGATACTCCTAGGTGTCAAGAACGACACTCAGTGCCTCTATGTAGACAGCTAACTCCCACCCCAACCGCTCAAAGCGAGAGCTGTCAGACCGCAGACTACAAAAAATGACAGAACAGTATTGCAAGACTGAGGTAAAAAACAGTATATAGTTTAATTCCTGAAACAATATAAATAATAAACTAATAATAGCACATAACATCTGGATGGCATATGTAGGATGCTACTAAATATCTATGTAACATGCTTCATGAATTGAGATTGGAGATTCCAAAAATCCAGCCTCAGAAATATCTGCTATGCCTGTTATAGAGCAAAGGCAGTGTAAGAGGGTGATGCCAAAGTAGAGAGCTCTGGTCAGGCTAAGAAAGAGGTCTGTGAAACTACTCTGAGGTGGACTTAGTTTATTACAGTGGCTCAAGCAACACCACACCATCACAAACTGAAAATACTGAGGCTTATCTTTCTCGATAGTTGATAAAAATTAGAAAAAGAACTTGAGTTCTTCAGTGCCACTGAAATTCCATGCCTAACTCTCCTTAATGATTATTTAGACTTTATACAGTTAGGAACAATGTAAGAAAGATAAAGTCCTTCGTACCACTGAGGATGAACCTTAAACTTGCCTGACAGCATCTATTTATCTGATCATCACAACAGGCATAGGCAGTTATACTTGCCATAGACAAAACGTTGCAGTAAGCAATCTGTAGGCGGTGAAAGAGAAGTTAACGTGCAATCTACTGCTCAAAACAATGGTCTGTTTAAGTCATGTGGCAACAGAAAGTGAAAGGCTGAAATGTGCTGTATTTGTTTTAAATTAGATGCTTATACCAGAGCAGAGGTTGTGTATGAATGGACACGAGAACCAGCAAGGTCAGTGGTGGTGGCTGAAGATGGCTCTCGACTGAACCAATATGATCTGCTTGGACAAACTGTGGACTCTGGAATCGTTCAGTCCAGCACAGGTCTGTGAAGAAGGTTTGCTGGGAAGGGTTGTGGTTTTGCTTTAATGGAAGATCTATAACATCAAAGCAGAATTTAGAGCAAAAAAGGAAAAATTCAAAAAACAACAGATGAAAGAGAGAGAGAAATTGCAATATATGGCTTTTAGGTTAGGGAAACACAGCTCTGAAAAGATAACATATCCTGGGATTATTTCTTACTTTAATTGGTTGTTAAAATATTTCAACATTTGCAAAGCTTCCTAGAGTGGCGAATCTAACCAGAAAGAAAAAAAACAGAGCAATCTACGCTATACAGAATCTTTCCTCATATCTTTATCATATTGTCTGCTTACTGTATATAAGAGCATGTTCTGGAGACAGTGGAATAAGATGCTGAAAGTAAGCACATACTTTCTCACGAAGGTATTTAGAGGGTGAAAAAAAATTTCACTGAATTAAGAAAAAACATTTGGAACATCCAAACATAGGATTTGTGTATCTTAGTTTGTGCCACCAGCTTTAAATCTAAAACTACTAGAAGTGTGGTAGAAAAAAATAACCCACGTTTTCATGCTATATATCTATACCTCTGAAGCTGGCTAATTTTTTTTTTTTTCCACTTTGCCATTTCCATTTCAAAATATAATCCTTGCGATTTTACTTTAATTACTTTGGAAGGGCAGAAAGATCTAAACACAGTCATAAGCTGAGCATTGAGGATGAACAAGACCTCACAGCCTTGTCTGGCTTGAATGTTCAATGGACCACAGAAAAGAACTCCATTACAAGTAACTATGGCTTTGAGAGCCCATGCAGTTGTGTCAGAGCTCAAGAAAAGCACGCCTGCCTAAACTTAACTTTCTAATGAGTTATTTGTAAAGTAAGCAGACAGTTAAGAGAAAATGAATTAATGTAATATTAACCCTAATTGGTGTCTAATTTATTTGTTATTTAGCTTGTCAGTATTTATTTGTAAGTCCACCTAAGATATAAAATTTATCTTATAAGCATAATATATTTCCAGTGCTCCAATTTTCAAGTTACTGCTTGGAAGCTTCTGTTCAGTACATGTAATTTTAAAAGTAAGTGGAATGGCAGAAATAAGGACTTTGCATAAGAACAATATCAACAGAACTGCTTCCATAGACTTGTTACTTCCATTATTGAGCAACGATTTGCCCATCAGGAAAATAAAAGCAGAGAGAACTTTTGGGCAAGGCACATCCAGAAATGTTCCTGTTGATGTCTGTGGAGCCATTAATTCACCCCACCTGCCCCTTCCTGAAAAGGCAGCCTAATTTGTGAGGGACTGTACGGATCCTGAGCCCTTTGCTCTTTCTGTTCTGAAGCTATTCGCTCAGACCTCAGCACCTTCATGGTCCTTTTGCATTCACCACCAATTCTCTGCTTACCAGATGCATTACCATGGCAGCAATACAGTTAGAAGAGACTCATGAGCTTGGGAATGTACAATACCAGATATAGTTCAGTACTGCGAGAAGCACCATGTACATTCTGAAGACAGATAATAAATCTTTAAACAGAACTGAAGGCAAACCTAAGAAATGTAAAAACTTGTGCTACATCTTCAATAAAAAACTAGATTATATTTCTTTTGCCCATAATATTTCACAGGATTGAATTCTGTCTCATTTTTGCACCTGATAGAACTCTTTACCACTCCCATCCTAAAAGCAGTATAGTTAATACTTGCCTAAATAAAATTCTATTGTCTAGATGCAGAACAGGTTTATAAAGAATACAATGGAGAAAAGCTAAAAATAAGCCCATAAATAATCTTAGTACCAAATTTGCAACTCTCTTTAGTTAATACCAACTAAGAAAAGTGGCGGAAGAAACTTGTTTGAAAAGTCAGTGTCTTAAAAGTACTTCTTGACATTTGTTTTCACCAAAGTAGTGGTGGGAATCAGAAGTCAACTTCTGCCCTACTAAGACAGCTGGGCAGCTATCTCACCACAATCCTCCAGCACATCTTTATCCTCTCATCACCTGTTTTAAGACACTCTGTATGTAATGAAAACTGTGAAATCCCTCCATTTCCAGATTTATGGAGGTTGACTCATATGACAAAAAGACAAAAGGAGCTGAAGTCAGTCTTCACTAAGAATTCTCAGCATCTCTGTTAGGCAAGAAAATGATGCTCTCACACAACTGATTCTATGGTTCATTAAGGGAAATTTCAAACACTTCAGTGATTTTAAGATATTGATAGTTGTCTGGAATTCTAGACACATATTTTCCAAGAAGTTGGGCAGAACCTTAGGTAGGTATTATTGAAAGTATAAATGATTTGATGAAACTGCTATTTTGTTTTGTTTTGTTTTTTCCCTTGATAGTGGTCCATCTGCTATGCTCATTTCTGGATCTAGAACAAGATCCTGATTTTTTAATGAAAAGAGATCTGCAATTTCTACTATTAAAAAAAAAAAAAACAACCCTGGTTTTTTTCAGTGTACTTATTCACTCATGCCACCAATGGAAGAATCTATTCTGTTTCCTTACACGTGCAGGTTCCGCAAGCTTAAATATAGCATTCAGTAAGCAAACTAGTACTGTTGCTGCCATTTTGCTTAAGCAGGGAGCCAGTCATTTTTAAGTTGCATGTGCAGTTTCTGTCACTCTTCAACTATCAAGTCCTATTCAGATGGACTTTAAAATCACATTATTTGCAAGTGCTTGAACAGATGCATAAAGGGCTTGGGAAAATTCCCCCTTTGCACAGAATTATTTTGCCACCTTGAAAACATTGTTTTGCATAGAGAAACAGCAGGGTTTGTGCTCACTAAATGATATATTCTTTTCCTCTTGTTCTAAAAACCTGCTGAGAGAATACTTCTTAAGAGGGGCTAATTTCTCTTGGGTTACACAGCATAAGAAGAGAAATATTTTGCTTTAAACTAATGTCAAGGAAAGCCTCATATTCTACAGTGATAGGATAAGTATTATTACGGTAAACTCATTTCCCTCATTGAACCTCATGTCTGCATGTCATTAAAATTAATGTGATGCACAGTAAGTTTAGGTGCCCAGTTGATTAACTGGGTTTATTAAAAATAGCTTAAAGAACATAAATAGGTCTGATCTGACTTTTCTGAATATCAGCCATTTCATTATAAGGACACAGGTTAATTTACAATATCTGAACATTGACTCTTAATTGTGAAACATCATAGAATTAAGGGCTGCTTAAATACTGCAGCAAAAGTGCTGAGCACAGACACAAACTCAGAGCACTGGAAAGACTGAAATGTGAACATGGTTCAAAACATTGGGTTAATGTAAGTGCAGGAGTTGTGTGGCCACTTTCAAAGGTTTCATATTGTATAATATGTGTAAATTATACGTCCTGTAGTTATTTAAATAAGTCTCATTAAATGATCTACAATATTTTAATAAATGATTCAAGTCCATTCGTATTTTGAGGACCTAAAGAAACATCTTTGATTTCTAACTGAATTGTAAGCATTATTGTAGCCCCGTGCTTTGCTTGATGCACTTCTTGTGGCATTATCTGCCTTCTAACTCAGACCTGTTGTAGCACTGAACTGATGGGAGCAATCCTGGACTTTTTAATTGCCTTCATGCTTTGAATCCCGTTCTCATTTCTAGAGGTTAAAAATACATTCATAATTTAAGCAGCTAAATCAAGTTTTAGAGCAGAGCAATGTGTTCACTCTATATTCTTAGCTTGCCTTCTATGGTTGCTGAATTAATTCTGGAAAACCATTGTAAGCATTCCATATGAGACTGCATTAAAATAGCTATAGCGATAAAATTAAATTACTGTTTTTTCTAGCTAGGATTGGCATTCTTCCTAAGATTACGATCATTGCTGTGGGTTGTTTCGGTGAAAATTAAAGAACAATGGGTAAAAAGCACATCAACAATCACCATGTTGCTCTGAAAGTTCTATTTTTTTGATAGAATTTTTTCCTTGTATAACCTTTGCTTTACCTTTAATTTTTAATTGATTCTCTTTTGCCCATTTGCTACTGACTTATATTTTATATTGAAACAGATCAGGAGTATTGCCACATCCTATCTATAAGATTTCCTCAGGATTATACATTGAGCAATTGCTCAAATGAATGTCCTTCTAGACTTTCTTTTAAAGAAAAGTGCATTTAACATGCTCAGTGTATCAGCAGTCAATGTCTAGACATAGTTTTTCAATCCAATTTAAGCTATTACTGTTCAGGAGCAACAGTCTCTTTTCAAATGCCTGTATTTTAAAAGAGAATAATGGTGATTTCACGTCATCTCTAATCTAGACAGAGGTTTTCATCCAGTTATATTTCCACCTGTTTCATCGCTAAGATAACATCCATTGTATAAAGAATCAATCTACACTGAACAAAATGTCATAGCTATAGGTTTTCCAATCTTTTAGGAATATACTGTTCTTCAAAATATGTTTTCAATGATGTTGTAAATAATAGTCCGAAAATAAGGCATTATTTGCTACCGTCTGGAAAGAAAGAATTGTAGAGTTATATAAATGCTAACAATGCCTTTTGTATGTAACTGGAATACACAAATCATATGTTTTTCTAGCACTAAACGCTAACAGTAATGAAAATATTCTATACTATTCCTGAACTGGCCATTTACTAGGCAAGAGAATATTAATTTAGTAAGGTACTGAATTTAGTAGGGTAGGGGTGCTTAATATTCAGAGTAGATAAAGCACACACATTGATAATAGAAACATAACCACATCAAAAATTACAGTTTAAGCTTGAAACATTTCTGACTTGCTGTCATCACTTCGCCTTTGGATGATGTTTCCATGTGCATATTACAGCAGCTTTCCAGCTTCTAATGGAATGAAATCTTTCACAAGAGGCCTAAACAGCCTCCAATTAATGCAGACGTTCATTCACTACTCACTGGAGATGAAAAGATGCAAATTTAATTAGTGTTTCCTAGAACTGTCTAATTCTGTTATTATTAGTGGAACTTCAGAATTTGCTTTAAATGTTTTCTTCGGAACTGACCCAGTACAATTTGAGGTTGATTTTTTTTTTGCTTAATCAGAGTTGTACATATAATGAAAAGTGACTTCATTAATAGTCTCCAGATTTTTGTATTTATAAAATCTTTACAGTTTTTTGTTGTTGTTGCTGTTGTTTTTTAATTTTATTTTAATTTATTTTTAGGGGAATATGTTGTTATGACTACACATTTTCACTTGAAGAGAAAGATTGGTTACTTTGTCATTCAGACTTATCTGCCATGCATCATGACAGTGATACTGTCACAGGTGTCCTTCTGGCTCAACAGAGAATCTGTTCCAGCAAGAACTGTATTTGGTAAGAAAGACTTATAAACTCCTTGGCAATGACACGCCAAATAAATGTAAGAATTTTTATGGTAAAAGTGATATGTGCAGAGTGATATTGGAGAAGAGCACGTCTACTGCACTAGTACAGGCTCAAGAGATAATGTTTTGTTGTGAAGATGCACCAGAAAACTATACAAGTTCCAAACCTTTTAAATTAAGAGTAAAATTGGACCTGAAAATATCTTGAACAATCTATTCCAGTTCTACTTTTCCAAAACAGTATATATATGAATGAAACATTTCTGATGATGATATGTGACATCCATGATATCCATGGTGGGGACTGTCAGAAAGTTTTAATTAATGGTATTTGTCACTTGATGTCCTTGACACCCTCAGCCTCTTTGAACATCTTTAGCTAAAAAATCCCCTTAGTAGGATGCTACTAAACATCTCCTGTTAAAATCAGTGATGATTTATTGTGCTTACAGCAGTGAATAGATGCACTCAATGAATGCAGTAACAAGGGAATCTGAAGGACTCTAACTTTATACAGTTCGTCCCCAGTGCTTTAACCACTGCTGGCAAACACTTATTTTAAAATTAGAAACAAACAACTAGCATAATCTCTGAAGATAAGAATCAAAGGCAAGTACTTTGTGAAAAAAAGAAGAAAAAAAAAAAGAAGTAATGTACCTTTAAAGGAAAATAGAACCTGATATTTCTATGATGTGACTTAGTCTTTTTTGTGATGTATGGATGGGACACCTGAGCACGTTTGATGGGAGGATGCAGAAGAGCACAAAGCCAAGCTGGCTGTCACGCTCACTTCCTGCCTTAGGGCAGAAGGATGCCATGGGCCCTCCTGCTCTGCATGAGGGAATTTTCCCAGTGACGCAGCTGGAGAGAGTTACAAGGCCTGATGTTGAGAAACATGCAGACACTGAAACTCTTGTTGATCAAAAGCTGTTTTTATTGACCTTTGTCAGGCACATTTCATAGATATACTTTCGCTTCCCAAAGGCTCTGGAAATAATTCACAGCTTGCATAACCTTAGACCTCATGAACCAAGTAAAGACTTTTTGTAGATATATGGATGTGCATTTACAGAAGAACAGTTAAAGCACAAGATAATTACATTTTATTTACATAATGTGATTTAGATTAATGTCTAAAATTACTTCAGAAGTTTTATCACCAACTGCACTGAGAATTGATCTGGGACTTTTATGAGCCTGTGTACTCAAAACTACTGAAGTTGTATCTATTTTATCTCTCTTTGCACTTGCCATTTAAAAGGAAATGTCAGGTCAGCATTTTGCAGTGCCATACTTCATTGTCCCTAGATAGAGGACAACATTTCCTAGTCTTACAGTGAATAATACATAATACTCCATGATCTCCTGCTGCTATCTTGAGAGCTCAAGAACCCATGTACTTTTGCAAGTTCTCCTTTTAGAAGACAGTTATTTAGTAAACAGTGTTGTGTTTACTCCATCATTATGTATCCAGATAGGTGATTTTTCCACTTCCTAATGGCAGTAAAAAAACATCTCAGGATATCTCGCATGAACAAATGCATACAAAAGCACATCTTACATCTTTTAGCCCACTTACTATCACAGATAATATAAATTATAAATCCTGCTTTGCACAAGAGAAACATAAGCTTGCTAATACTGAGTCAGATTAGGTTGTCTCTCAGGGATGGGAAATTGCTTCTTCACTAGACACTAAAATTTCAAGCTCTTTACACTAGTATGTAAATACACTGTTCATTATTTGGCCTATTTTAAACCACTGCACATTCTCACTAACATTCAGTGCAGCAAAGATGAACTTGCAAAAAACATTCAATACAGGATACTGCAGTTGTCAAGGTAGCTTGTGGACACATGATTTGATGTAAATGTCCAGCCTACGCTTGCAGATCTTGCAGAGTGAGTTCAGTACAGCCCTACCACTGCCAGTGAAAGCTCCACGGGGATCTCAAATGTCATCAGCTATGGGAGCTCTGATATCGCAGATGCAGATAACATTCTTATTGTTCTTAAGTAAATTCTGTGCATCAGGGAACATCTGCAATAATATGAATTTAAATAAATTTAATGCTACATAAAGCTTAGAGAATTTATCTATGAAGGAACATATACTTCATAAACAATTTTAGTATTAACAATAACCAGGCTAAGAAACACAAAACCAATAAGCTTTTAAGTTTTATGTTTAAATATATTAAAACTACCAGGAGAAGTACACATGTGAGTCGATGTATTTTTAGGGCAATTTACACAGTTTGGGTAAGGAAGAGCAATGATGATACCTCATGCTCCATGAAGCTTTAAGTATTATCCAGTCCAAATCTTAAGTATAAAACTGATGTTTCAAAGATCCCACAACTTCTACAGAATTGGAGAGGTCCATAAGAATGATGGGTGCAGATGAGGGTTTCCTATCTATCGTAGTAGTTGAGAACTGAAGTGCAAAATAAAACTGCTGATACGAGGACAAAATCTGTTTGTTTTGCAGGAGTGACAACTGTCCTAACAATGACCACGCTGAGTATCAGTGCGAGGAATTCACTCCCTAAGGTGGCTTATGCCACTGCCATGGATTGGTTTATAGCTGTGTGCTATGCCTTTGTGTTTTCTGCACTCATCGAATTTGCAACAGTGAATTACTTCACAAAGAGAGGTTATGCATGGGATGGCAAAAGTGTTGTTCCTGAAAAGGTAATGCCACTTAATATCTACTCCAACAATTCACATAATGTCACACACTATCTCCATATATTTTTAATAGCTGTTTTTTTTTTATTAATTTATTTGATTGTTTGTTTTTCGAGGGAAGCCAATTCATTCTGTAGGGCTGGAGCAAGATAAAGTGTCCATGCCTTAGTATATATGTGGAGGAAAATCTTGTGGCTGCTGTATTGAGCTTCCGGAGTACATTGCTCCTCAAGTTAAAGAGGATTGCCAATGATAATGATCATCAATCAATCAATCAATCAATGCAGGGCTTTTTCTTGCCTTTGCCTACTATCATTTCACTGTTTTTTAAAAATAGAAATATTGTTATTTTTAATTCTTAGCCTATATATGAAATTAGGTTGTTTCAGGAGTCAGTAACCCTGATCCACATTTCCCTCAGGGCAAAGGAGGACATCAGTTTGTCTCCTTGTAGGGATCAGACTGTCTGTAAGTCACATATGCATCAACAAATTGTTGCGGATGTACAGGGAATGAGTTTCCTATTTCCTATGAAATATCATGTGAGCTCCTTTTGTGAGGAAGCTCATTTTGGTTATTTAAGAGATCTTGAAAGAGACTTTTAACTTGCCTAATTGCTTATCGCCTAATTGCTTATGAACATTCACAGATTAGAGAATCAGCAGAATAAATATTTGGAGGAGCAGATGTTACTCATTGGTATGCGAATATATGTGTTTAACTCAGGAATGTACAGATAGGATATATAAATATTCTTTGTTGTACTGTTTTTTCTATTTTTGTTGTGCAAGTCATTCAGTGACAAAATAGAAATAAACTCTGAACATTTACACAGTGACAACCAGCCTTAAAAGCATCGTAGAACAAAATGAAGCAATTATCTTACAGATTTGAGTGGTGTTACTGCTGGTCAATATTTTCAGTTACTGATAATACCTCCATTGAAAGTCATTCTTTTCTGTTTCTCCACATTACAGCTTTTATCCACATTACAGCTATTTTTTAAAGAACGAGTTATTTTAATAGAAAATATTAAATATTAATTATTCCTATTTTAATACTATCTACCTACTAACATAAGTAACTATAACCAGCTATTTATTTCAAAGAAAATTGAATTTTCATACCAAATAAGAAAAAAAAGAAAAAAGAAAAAAAAGACAAACCAGAGCAGTAAAAGCACAATATTCAAATGCTGTCTGAAACATTGGAGGATGTACGATTTTACATTCACTAGCAGGTAAGGGTCTTCATTTTTGCCTTCGTTATAGGGCAACAAAGATATGCCACTACCCAGTAAAGCGTGTTATCTGCAGACATTAAAGCAAGCAGAGCAAGCCAACAGTGAACAAAGCAACACAGATTAATAAAGTTTAGGGCTCCTGTTGGCTGTTATGTTTTCATTAATTCAAATTTGACATAAAGTGTCAGGCCCCTGATTGGTGTCAGGGCTTCCTGTGGATCAGATTCCTCATGAAATTTGTATCTGTAGGCTGAGTGTCCCCTGACTCTTCTGCAATCTGGTTCTTCGACCTGCTGGATTTAGAGCTGCTCATTAGCACATCTTGCCAATGGGGAAACAGTACAGGCTTCATACCAAGCATGTCAGCAGCCCTCCTGCTCAGGAGAAAAGACAGGCAACCAGAAAGCCTTCTGACTTCATCTTTTTTCTTTTCTGAGTATTTTTTTTTTCAGTTGTTTGTTTGTCTTACTCAGCAGAGATATTCTAAGATGTTTTGAAGCTTTTCCTGAGCCTCAAGCTACGGTGAATATTATTGTCTTGCAACAAAGAGCATCTGCACCACAGGCACTATCCAAACCCCTTTCCTATGAAGGAACCAATTTAACATTTCATCAGTACGTGTTTCCTTCCTGATTGGGGCTCAGTGTCACGCTTCAACACGCTTCTTCCCACGTGCCCTCATGCTTTTGCAGCTTTCCTGCACATTCTCAGGTGTCCTTCAGGAACCTTTGTGTTCACCTCCTTAATTTTTTACTTATAAACTAAAGCCACCCTGCCTCCCTAGGGCCTTGCCCATTTAGCTATTAAACTATAGTCAATCTATGACAAATAGCACTGTAACTATCTTAAAAAGTATTTCCTCTCTGGGACAGGTGCATCTTGCTAACAGATGGTTCTATTTGTTATTCTGTGAAATGATGCAATAAAACCACTCCTACTATTTTTTCTTGATCTGTATTATCATCTTCCTTCTAGAGGACAACATGGTCAACATTCCCTTTTTTCCCCCCTCAGCAAATACTATGATGGAATCCTAATGATTTTCCAAGCTGTTGGCATTGTTATCTCTTTTTGTTTCCTGATAAGTAGTTTTTCTTTACACCTCCCACTGAAAAACATTCAGTATAGACTTGTTTTACAACATGAGTGGCTGCAAAAATCATGTGGCTGCTTAAGACCCTTTCTTCAGCATGTAATTTCAGCCATTACAATCCAATTGCATCATTCAAGTAGGAACTGAAAATTTCTCTCTTTAATTCATATGCTTCTGGTGTATATCCTTAGTATAAAAATGATTGGTTTGGTGTGTTTCCAAATAATCCACTTCTTTGTGTCACGGTTACATATTTTTATTGTATATTTTTAATATAAGAATTGTGTTAGAATGAATCATAAAAACACTGTTTGTCTTAATATTGGAAAATTACATTAAGAAATTCAGTATCTTTTAAGGTTCTTATGCTGGTCAAGTGGCAGAGTTGATTAAGGGAACGTTGAATTATGAATGGTTCATCACTGCTCATTACCATTAAAGATCATTTTGTCTAACAGTGAGCCTAGCTACCAGGGTAAGTCTTCACTATCCATCATATACTTCAGTTTAAGTGATACAAATAATCTAGATGAGTGATTCTGCCCCTGTCTTCATCTAAGTATTTTGCATGAGTCGTGTACCCCAACATTACCTTCTTACTTACAGGTTATCACAACTTGTGAAATAAAGTTAACTTGCAGCAAAATTTGATTGTGCTTTTTTTAGTATGTTATCTACTCAGAAGCCAATAGGAATAAAATATTTTCTTCTTTCTTTAGCCAAAGAAGGTGAAGGATCCTCTCATTAAGAAAAATAACACGTACACAGCTGCAGCTACAAGCTACACCCCTAATATTGCAAGGGACCCTGGGCTGGCAACCATTGCTAAAAGTGCAACGATAGAGCCCAAAGAAGTTAAGCCAGAAACAAAGCCTGCAGAACCCAAGAAAACTTTTAACAGCGTCAGCAAAATTGATCGACTATCAAGAATAGCTTTCCCACTGCTTTTTGGAATCTTTAATTTAGTCTATTGGGCTACCTATTTAAACCGGGAGCCTCAGTTAAAAGCCCCGACTCCACATCAATAACCTCATTTATTCATCTAGCTCTGTTTTGTCTTTTGCTCTGGGAATTGCTTCCAGTTTTCACATACAGTAATTCCCATTTGGAATATCATAAAGGTTTCTTCATTTAACCAGAAGTAAAATATATCTGTATATTTAAGAACCCTATATACAAGGGAGAAAACAATATAAGCTATGTAACTTTGGGAAACTGATTCTTAAAAAGGGAAAGAAAGTTCTAGTAATGGGAAAAAAAAAAAAAAAAAAAAAAAAAGGAAAGCATTTGTAGATAGCTTAATACTGAATGTCCCCAAGATATATTGTATATGTACATGAAAAAGATATTTTTATTCAATGGATTGTGAGAAGCAGGAAAATATTCTTTTTGATGTCCATGTTGCACATACTACACTGCACCACTTTTTCAGTCACTGTTTATAATCTTTTCAAGGATTTAAAGCTTTCCATTTGCTGGATCCCATAAGTTATTTTCCTATTCCTTTTTCCCTTCTATATTCCAAATGACCTAACTTAAAATATTAAATGATTGTTAAAGAAAAATTACTCACTGTAGATACAGTTCATCACTGTATAGCACATAAGATCTAATGGTGAAAAATGCTTTAATCTGCTCTCTTACTGCAATCTTGTTCTAAGCATTAAGTTGTTACTAGACTAGATTTTAAACCAGTTGCACAATCAAGTGCAGATCCCAAGTCCCTCTTTCTCCTGTGTAATCCAAACAAATCCCAGATGCTTTTACAGATAGCTTTTACTCATCACTGTTATAGAGTTTAAAAAAAAAACAAAACCAAAACACAAATTTTGCAAGCTCTAGATATGTTGAATGTATTCTTTTATAAAATGATACATTAAAAAAAGCTTTAGGATGAAATTTATGGATAGCAGAAAGACAAAATATAGTATTTAAATAATATATGTAAATATGCAGCATGAGATTGTACATTTTTCTTATTTTCTTTTTCTTTTTTTTTTAAAAAAACTTTTTAAAAGTTTTGTTCTTAAAACATTGCTTAGACGTCACCTCTTAGCTCTTAATATGTTGTTAAACGCTCAATAAAACATATTTAGAGCCTATATAAAAAAATCATTGGCATTGGAAAGTCTAAAAAGTAGATAGGAAGTGCTTGGAATTAATTCCATTTGTAAAGTGGTTAAGTGTACAGTAACTTGCAATTTGACAATGTCATCCAATGTTTACTATTAGATTAATGACTGGTCTGCTCAGGTCATGCATAAATACTAAAGTATGGGATTATATTTGGTAGGTAGAAATGGTGAAATATTTGCTAAGACAGAAGTTCATCTGTATATTACTGCTATATTTGCCGATACACAACTGTTACAATAAGTGATGTAATATATGTAGCATTAAATACAAAAAAGTCATACAGAAAAGAATGTACAGGAAAATAGATTTTATTGAGTAAACTTATAACATTTCATTTTTACTGTAGCAATATATTTGTAGGAACAATATGTAAGGGCTTTAAATACAAGATGTCCATTTTGCAGGTATTGTGCTCCCTTAAAAACAATTCTAGTCAGTATCACTATTGCTGATTGTTAGAAATAAAATTTCAGATAAATCTTTTTCAAAGAGACGGGAATAATGGTGAGTGTTGGCAAGGATCAATTAAAAAACCACAACACACTGTACTGAGTCAATTTTGAAGAAATGCTACATAAGTCTCTAGAGAAACAGCTAATCAAAATTAAATTTCACAGTCACATTTCAGGCAACGTTTTATAAGCCTCAACAAGTCAGAAGGTTGACGCTCTCTATCTACAAAAGGAAGTAGTTAATGTTTTATATGTTCTATTTAGTTGTTTTTTCTTTTTTTTTTTTCTTTTTTTTTTTAATAATGCTTCATTGTCTAACATCTAGTCGTGTCTAAACTTGATAAGTTATCTGATTGGAGCTTATTTAAGGGGGATGTTTTCATCTTCTGACATCATGTGTAGATATATGTATAGAAAAAAATAAACTATGGCTCTTTAACTTCAGTGTACTTGTTTATCTTGTTATTTTTGGCGTTTAACTAGTGTGTTCATTTAGGACATTTTATCCTTCTAGTAATTCATAGCTACCTTTTGGTCTGCATTTTGCACATTAGATGTGAATATTACTTAACTAGTCTGCTTTTTGCTATGCAATGACTGCATTTATCACCTCTTAGTTTGTTAGTCTATGCCAATAGTATTATACTGTACAAACTTGATTGCAGAGTTTATCAAAGACAAGGTATTCTCTATGTAGCTTTTTTACAGTGCTTTGCTAAACCATGTAATAATAGTAAGTCTTCCTTGAAAATAATGATACACTCTTATAGAGGACAGTTTGTTTACTCCCGGGATAATTTTAAAAAGATGACATTGAATGTTTATTGCACCTCAGTGCAGTGATGTGGCAATAAAACCTAAATCTAATAGAGGTTGTTTATGGCAGAAGCATGTATTGCTTTACAGAGTTTAGCAAAAGCTCTTTATTTTATGTCAGACTGTAATTCTATTATAATAATAAAGCTAAAAATAATGAAAGTAAATGTTTTACTTTGGTTTTCTTTAGTTACTTTTTTTTTTTTTAAACAACACATCACTTTATGAACTGCTATTCATTGAAAAGTATAGTTTCATTTGATAAAGAATGCAGTTTAATGGATGTAGTTTTCTGCTCAGTGTTTTCAACAACAGGACTGTTTCTGAAATCTGATTTGACATTAAAAAAATATTGCTCAGTCTGTATAATGTGCATCCACTAAAACAATAGCTCAAATCAGATTAATAACTGGTGAGGTTAAGTACAGTGAGCGTGATACAGGATAGGAAGAGAATGAAACACACTATGAAATACAGCTAAAATGGCAGATAAACCAGAGAAGAGTAAAAACTGGGATTTTTTTTTTTCTTTTTTAAATTAGAGATGTCATAGAAATACAGATCTAAGAAAGACTGTTAGGACGGGACCTTAAATTATATAAAAATAATACTATTTCACTTATTTAATGAGTTCTGGGAATAGCATTTAAACAAACGTACGCATAGCTAGAAAATATTAATTCAATGCAGAACACAGAGGGAAAGCCATTCCAGTGTATTCAACCCTCCAATTTTCTTGGGAAAGTTCCTGGCAGCAAGGCTCATGCTTTTAGACAGAGGAAGAGAAACAATGAGTGGCAGATGTAGTTCTGAAGGATCCAATGCAGAAAAGGTTCTCATAAGTTCAAGTGTGTACACAGTTATATTTAGAGTGATCTTAAGTAGTGACTTCCACAGAAAAAAAAATCACCACAACGGAAAGAAAGCTTGTATTAACACAGGCACAAATTCTGTTACCTTATTCTGCTTTTCTCTACTTTGAAGAACAGTGCAGTCCAAATACTTGTTTCTTGCCTCCTACTGATAACTACATGGACTTTGAATCCCTATGGAAACCCACACAGGATTTTCTGGAGAAGCAGGGAAATGGCAAGTGACACTAAACACCCACCTCCTACATTCATATGCTAGATAGAGAGTATATATGAGGACTCTCACATCTCCTTTGACACTGCTCTAACATTCTTGGGTAGAATTTTACTTATGTAAAATGAGTGAAAATGACTAGATGCAACAGGAATTGACTGAGTAAAGAGCACGTAGCACCTTTCAGCCTCACAGAGTGAAGAGCCCTGTCAGAGGGGAGGTTCAGTCAGCAGGCAATCCAGCATGACATCCTGAAATGGAGGTGCTCTGTGATACTACATAAGGAGGAGAAAATCCTCCAGTTCTTCTGGGATCATCCCTTGATGGTACTGCAAGAATGCAAGGGAACAGTTTGATGTGAAAACTGATAGTGCCTCACACTTTCTGTAAATAGTAGAATACAAAATGCTGTGTCAGAAGCCAGCTCTTGGGGAAATGAAGATGATGAAGGATTCCTGTATGTGAAGGGCAGTATTACCTAACCATAGGCTATAGAAAGACTTCTTTAGACAAGCATTCTGCTGGCTTGATCTTCCTGGGGCTGATCACAGTATCAGAATCACAAGTGGTAATTCAGACAACTACATTTAACAGCATGATGTTACATCATGCTGAGTAAGACAGGCTGAGCAAATAAGTGCTTCACTTTAAGAATGTACAACAGAAGCATCCTCCAGCAAAGAGGTAACCCTTTGGTTCAGCAGTCCAAGCATTCAAAGTTGTTAAAGGCAATCAGATTTCATGCAATCTTAGTAGCAGAAATGGGTGTATTAGGTGTGCATGCACTTATTCAAAAGTTCAACAAAGGAAAAGAAAATCTTTGACTTTCCGATGGGATCTTTCACTCCCCCCCCCCCCCCCCCCCGTTTTTTTCTTTAATCTCCTTCTATTTTCTACCAATATGGTAAACAATAAGAGCTTATGAAACACCCTAATGGCCAGAAAATGGGGCACGCATGCTTCAGGGAGCAAATAATAAGAGAACTTCTTTCAGCTTGTGCTTTGTATCTGAATGTCCAAATAAATTAGCGTGACTGGGGGAAGTCTGACTTTCTTAGAGGCTTGAAAAATAGCAGTCACACTTATAAAAACCTCAAGATCTCCTCAGACTTTTACTAGCAGATCCACAGGGAAAAACAAAACAAAAACAACAAAAAGGTCCTCCTGTGCATAAAAACAACACAGCTTAAATAAAATGAGTTTTCATTCTTAGCACATAAATTTTGCAAGTGAAGTACATTGTCAGCTCGTCAAGCTGTAGCTGTCGGGTTACATCTGATTACAAATCACGCCAAATACAATAAGAGAGGCAAAAGCCTCCCAATGCCAAGTTTCTATAGGCTTGCTCACTCTGGTTACAGCCGCATCCAAACAGGCAGGATGACAACGTGGCTGCTGAAGTCGTCTGATTACACAGCTCTAGGGCATCTGAAGATGCAGCAAGCAGATTCTGTGCTTGCAGTACAGCTGTCTGTTACATGAATTTCACCCAAAGACTAGAGACATTTTCTCTCAAAAACCTGCAGACCAAACTAGCAAATAGGAATGATTTGTTCAGTGTGCTGTCAAGGGAAAAAGGACACATTTGGTCAACTCCTGTGAGAACAAGGGCATTTGCCTACAAAGAGATCTGATGAATATCTTTCCAAGTGCTTTCATATACAAAGTATAGCTTAACCTCAAATTACACAAACTCAAGACGTGAACTAAGACTAAGGTAATGAATTTGTCTAGAAAGAGTTTGCTAACGGCCGCTCAGAACGTATCACCTTTGCTACATGATCACTTTATAAGTATTCATCATCCACTGACATGACTGGAGTGCCTCACAGAGGAAAAAAAAAAAAACCCTACCTGCTAGAGTCTCAACTCAAACAATACCTACTAACAGCAAAATGCACAAAGCTCCTATTCTATTACTTCCAGCAGCAGTAGAACAACACTTTTAAATAAGTGATTTATAGGCTTCTAAGATTGCTCTCCATTACAGTAATACTCAATCATATAATAAATTTTTGACAAGAATATGAAAAATTCCAATTGAAAAAAAAAAAAAAACAACCATATTTATGGTCAACCATAAAGAAAACTCAGTGAAGCTACAACACAAATATCCTTATTTTCCTCTTAAATTAAACTAGCTTACAAAAACAGAAAAGTTCATTTAAAATGAATCTTGACTAAAATCAGTGCACCTTCTGAATAAGAGAATAAGCCATCAGAGATCATGGTATAAATAAATATCTGCCAATTGTCAGGACCTGCTGGAAGGCCATGAATTTAAGTAAGAACAATAACATCTTTGAAGAAAGTGTAATCAAATAAGAAGCTTTCTACTCTTCGTATGAAAATAGTGCAATTTCAGTAGTTTCAGTGGGCCTTTTCAACAGGCTTCTTTTGTTTGTTTGTTTGGGTTTTTTTTGTTTGTTTGTTCTATTTTGTTTTGGTTTTTTCTTTGATGTTGTCTTTCTTAAAAGAGAAAGGAAAACAACAGCAAAACACACACACACACAAAAAAAAAAAAAAAAAAAAAAAGCCCCAAGCCACTCAAGAAATTGAACTTCTTTTCATCCCTGTCTGAGCGAGGGGCTAAGGCAAGCACGGAGATGCTTGAGGTTCAGTTCCAAAAAGTAATGGTGCACAGCTCAGGAAATAGCAGTGTGGGATCTTAAATCAAACAGTTCTAAGACAGCAACGTGAAATAAGTTTTAACTACAAATAAAGCTCAGCTAAGCCTCACAGATACAATAAAATAACATGCAGATTAATGTAAAACTCTCAGGACTTGATAATATTTAGGTAACTGCACAGCCAGAACTCTCAGCATTGGAGTGTACTTCTCTTACACCCATATGTAAATGCCAGATTACAGATCCCTAGAAAAGGAGAGTATTTCTGGCAGTTCCACAGTAAGCTTTGTGTTTCAGCCAGGAGATTACTAGCACTTAAGAATGCAGAGGAGTCCTTTTCTTGTCACGCAGTTACTGAACCTTAATAGAGAGATTCATTTGTAAATACCTCTAACTTCTTTTCTAACAGAGGTTGGGCTGGGAATGTCCACTTCCAATCATTTAGTTTGTGAATGGAAGGATATTTTCCTTAAAGCTCTCAAGGAAAGAGATTTAAAATTGAGTAAGCGAATAAAACAAACTGAGAAAGAAAAGAAAGATCATTATGAATAACAAAAAGATCTGGTAATCCACAAATTCAGTTTCAGATATTATAGCTTCAATAGTGATTGTCAACAGTTTCTTCCCCTCCCCACAAATCCTCCTAGACACTGGTCTCCTAAAAAATGCATTAATAAAATACAACAAAAAACTTTTCAAGTGGATAAGAGCAGAATAAAACCAGCATTGGGTGCATTTGAAAACCTTACCAGGTATTTTTAGCCATAGAACAAACAAATTTTAAGTATTCTAACGCTACCAAAGAAAAAAGAGAAAACAAAGAGTATTGGGCTCTGCAGCAAGTGCAGCTTACAGTTTTCTTCTGTTCTGCCAAGGCGTAGGACTAAAGATCTACTCTTACCCAGCATGCCA